CTTTACCATGGACCTGATGGGCGAACTTGCCTTTGGCCATAACTTCGGTGCCATTCAGGGTGGCCGGCCGGTCAAATATTCCAAGCTTGTGGAGCTTTCTCAGCGCTTTGCAAATCTCAGCGGCATGCTACCTTTCGGCAAGTACAATGTGAAAGTCTTGAGCATGGTGCCATTGCCATATATCCAGAAACTGTACCAAGCGCGGCTTGAATATTTGGAGTATGCGAGACAGGCACTGGAGAAACGGTTTCAAGATAATCGTAACCAAGTGCTCGGCGGCAAGCCAAGGCAAGATATCATGCAACGCTTCATCGAGGCACAGGACCCGGAAACAGGTGGACGAATGGACTTTCCAGAATTACGAGCTGAGGCCTCCTCTTTAATGGTGGCTGGGGCAAGCACAGGGAGCGTTACCATGAACTGGATGACTTACTATCTCAGCAAAAACCCATCTGTGAAGGAACGCATCATTCAACAACTCGAGGAGACATTCCCCGACAATCTCGACGCCTCGACGCCCCTGCCCTTCGCGATGTTGAACAAGTTGAGCCTTCTAGAAGCTACCGAGATCGAATGCCTGCGGATGCACCCACCCATCGGCTACGCCATGCCACGCATGACTCCACCCCAGGGAGCTGTCATCTGCGGAGTTTACGTACCGGGCAACGTCGACGTCGGCGTGCCCGCAGCCACCATCGGACGCAACCCCGTCGTGTACCGCAATCCAAACATTTGGAACCCGGACCGCTGGCTGGACGAAAAGGCCGATCTGGCTACAATGAAGACTTGTTTCCTGGGCTTCGGCTTCGGGAGCAGACAATGTATCGGGAGAAACGTGGCGAACCAGTTTATCATCAAGATGATTGCGACCTTATTGTTGAGATATGATATCGAGCTTGAAGATCCAAATCTCGTCTTGGGCACAAAGGAATTCACGATTCTCAAACCGGATCGAGACTACAATGTCATCTTGCGGCCAAGGAGGCACTGATCCGTCTTCTCTGGCCAGCTGGGTCTTGACCGTTTTATTGCAGGGCCATATGAGCCTTGACTTCGGAGCTACGATAATTAACGATATAATAAGTAGAGAATGACGCAGGGTAAGGAACAGCATGACTACAAGTAGTTCCTGCTCCCGATCTTGATTTTTCATGGGGCATATAGGGCGGCGTAGCACGAACTCTCACATACATACATATATATATTCTATATCCTATATAGACTTTGGCAAAAATCTGGGTTCGTCTACGGATTGACACATTTCCCGCACTCACGACGAGTATGTAGTACGAGTCTCATCTCTATCAGGAGAGCAAGAAGTCCTTGTTCTATCTTTCGCCTCGCCCCTTTCTGCTCTCCAGTCCAGTCTAGTCCGCTCACTCCACCACGGACCACGGTGGAGCAACGCCGAACTAGGTTAGAACAAGACGTACCTCGTATTATTATCATTGTGGAGGGGCCCCAGTCCGCCTACAGGTACATAAGCCGACGAGTTACATGTCAGGAGAATAGTTGCGACCTTGTCGAGAGTAGACCCTGAGTACGGAACATGGGATATGGGATAGGGGATATGGGATATGAGATCCATCGTACTCTGATACATAGACATGTATATACATGTGTATCCAATTTCACTTCTCCCTACCTAGTATGTATTGTCCCGTGGAGACGTCCTGAAGTAAGCCTCGCCCGGTCACAACAAAAAAAGTGAACCTGTCTAGTTCTTGGCCTTCCCACTCACTTCCTCCTCCCGGCGGCGGATGTCCGAGTCCTTCATGCGCCTGGCTGGCGAATAGGTATATAAAGAAACATAATTACTGTATCCTCCGTAGCCAGGACAAGTGTGCTCAGTCCCCTGTACCCAGTATGCATGTGTGCGTGTGCGCGAAATTGCTAACCCTTGTGCAAATTTCGAGGGAGTCTATCTATCTAGAGGATATCCACCCGTTGAAGTGTCAGTGAAGTGTCCATCCATCCAACCAGGTCAGGTTCCGTCATCCCAATTTCAGAGCTCTGCAAGCATCAACCATTGCAGTTACCACAATCGTAGAGGCTCGATGTTTTTCCTCAAATCCTAAGCCTGTATTTTTACTCTCATATCTTGTTTGCTGCATCCATCCATCGCGAACTCCAAACCCAATACATATCATTCAGTTAGTCACGTTTCCATCCCATCGCAGTTGATCTGCATAAAGAATCCAATCCATCGACCCTTAGTCTACCTTGAAAAGTACGACTCACAACCCTTTGAACCTCTCCCAACCCGCAGCTCCATTCCTTGTCGGACTTGCTCTTCCCTCTTCAGCTGCTTTGCCGCTAACATCTCTCCGTCTACCCATGCCTTTACCAAACTCTGCACCGAGCCCCGCGTATCCACCGTTCATATCAAATCCGGTTGAGTTCGAAGTTTGCCTCGTACCGTTCCATTGGGACGGAGAAGCGGTCTGCACATTCATAATGTTGGCGCTCAATCGTCCCTCTTCGTCATCAGATGTGGAGTAGACCTCGAAGTTGGCAGAGTAGTCGCTTTCCGTCTGCATCGTGCGAGTGCGTTCGTACATACCCTGAACCTCTTTGATACTGGCTCGAATGTCTTCTTTCTTATCGTTGTCATTGTGAGTGGGAGATGCAGAGCCAATGGATTGTCGCAGATCACCATAGAAGCGAGCTTTCCCACCGCTACCGACGAAGCTGGATGGTCTACTATGGGCTGGGGTGCCTCCGAGGTGAGCTTGGGCGTTACCGTCTGCGTCGTGGAGGGCGGCGCGACTTCCGTCGTGCTGAAAGCGTGAATCCCTTGTGGGTGTGACATATGCATTTTCATCGTTGAACGCTGTGCGTGTAGGCGTCGGAGGGTTCATGCCTAGAGGTTCACGGCTTCTCTTCTTTGGCGGAGAGCCAGGGGACGGCATAGGAAGCGATTGATGTAAAATAGCTCTGCTCGAGTCTTTCGAGTGGACGTGGGTCAGGTTGTTATTTGTTGGTGGTGGTAGCTGGGCCTGACTGTTGCGTGCTGAGGAACCATGATACCAATTCTCGCGTTCACGATGAATCTTGTCGGATGGAGCGTCTGTAACGGTGATCGCAGACACAGGGGACATGGGCCGGACTTCGTGGTCCAGTTCTGCAGAGGCCTCTTCGCTCATCGTGCTGGGCACGCCTTCGTAATCGAGATATGACAGCCATGAAGATGGACGAGATGGTTTCTCCTTGAGCTGGGAAGAGCGTTCGGGGCGGAAATCAAGTCCACTACCAGCTGCCCGAGAGGTTGGAGAGGGATTGACGGCAGAGCCAGGTCGTTCGGGAGATGAATTTCGTGACCATCGCCAGGGATCTTTTTCATTTTCATCCAGTTCTTTGCGGAACTCTACCCTCGAGTTGCGGGCGCTATCGCCGCCGTAGAGCGTGATGCTGTCGGCAGAGTCAGTCCGAGTGTGGATAAAAGGGACTCTCTTAAAACCCGAAAGCTGCGATTCCCGCTTAGCGGCCAATGCTGAGGACCTCATGTTCTTCTCGGTGATCTCGGATTTATTCCGTTTATGCCTGGATGTGAGATTCGGCTCCAGCGGATTCATGTCTGGCGGCAGCTTGGAGATCTGTCTGAACTTGACACCCAGGTAAATGTCCACGAGCAGAGACAGCAGCATCAGGCCACTCTCAACGCACGAAAGCAGAAAGAATGCATTGATGATCTTGTATGACAGATCCGACTCGTTGAACAGCGTGCTCCATCCGTATTCGTTGTTTGTGTAGTCTGCATGTGCTACCCATGCGCAGAAGACCCAGAAAGGGATCAGACCAGTATCCACCATGGCCGCAAATATCATGTAGCTTGCTGTAGAAGCAGGAGTGCGGCTTGTAGGTGCACGCGCGAGGTGGAAGACCGCATAGAGGGTGTGAAGAAGGGCAATAGCAGGAGCGCAGCGAATGATCCATCCTACTGTTGCGGTGGTCTTGTTGATGGCGATAACGCAGAAGAGGGCGCCCAGAGCCCCGATCAAGGCACAAACTCTTAGGAAGAGTTGGACGTATCGGACGCGGACGATCTTCTTGTGGGTATTCGGAGGCATCGATTTAGCATTGAGATTGCCGTAAGGAAGGACTATATACTGTGAATAGGTCAGTCGAGGAGCACTTGTCTCTGCTTCAGGGATCATACAGAATCAGGATGCTTGTTGAAATCAACCAGTGGACCATCTTGCTTAGGTTTCTGAGGTTTGGGAGTCCAGGAAGCATGGGTTGCAGCCTTGGGATTGAAAGCACGATCAGTTGGGCTGCCAAAGGTGTATGTCGAGGGTCGGTCGTAAATGAATGGAGGTTCGACACCCATAATTTGCTGGAATGCTGTCGTTGGCAATGAGACGGAGCTACAAAGAGTGGAATGTTCGTGCTGACATGGGTATTAAGAAAGGTCATAGCGGTTCAAGAGGCTGGTGTGGTTGGTGCCAATCCACCAACCCTCTATTTACCAGCCGGGAGTTGCCCAGCAACGATTCGCCTAATGCAGCCTCGTCCAGCCTCGCTTCGCCCCTGACGAGGCCGGACGAGGCTGGGGTTCTAAAACTGGCCGTCAGATTCACCAGCGCGAAAGGTCATAAATTATTGGGGCAACCATACGAGGTACTTACGACCAGGACTGTGACACGTCGTCAAAGGTGCAGATCCAGAATCCATCGGCGGGATCAAAAACAAGCTGTTGATTAGCATTGAGACTCTCTTACTCCTTTAGACCGCCGGCGCTTGTCTTGCTATTTCTAGGTCAGTATGTATTGTCTTTGACGAGCACATGACTCCTCGGCTGTGCGGAACGTGTCATCGAAACCCGTCTAACTAGGTGCCGACCACTACGATGGGATGACGGTGGACGTCCATGCAAAAGAACACGATCGAGAACAGCGCGGACGTGGAACCAAACGTTACTCTGACTTGCTTGATTGAGTCGTTCTACTCTAACAAAAAGGAAGGATAAAAAACCAGCACACCACGACCGCCCCCGCCGCTCACAACTCCTCTTCCAGGACCCCCAAAAGGGTCAACGCCTGCTCCAGCGACGCCAACACCGCCCTGACTCCATTTATCATGGAGTTGTCTTGGACCGCATGGCGCGATTGCTTCATCGCCGGCTTCAACCCTGGCCGCGCAAACACCCAGACGGGCCCCCACGTCGTAAACTCGCGCCGGTGCCAGTCGTTTCGACCCGACCACTCGAGGTCATCTGCGGCAAAGTCCTTGAGAGCACTGATGTGCTCTGGGAGGGCCAGCTCCGGCAGCTCGAAGCCGAAGTCTTCCCTCGCCCTATCGGCGCTCATGCGGTATTTCGCCCAGAGCTCTGGGTCCGAGGGCCGGGCGCCATCCTCGAGATCTGCAGCAGTGCAGATCCATTCGTAAGCGTAGTAAGCATACGCTTGCACGTATGCCTGCAAGGAGAAGATAGCGCCGGAGCAGGGAAAGAGTCGATGGAGGTGAGCCCACCGGCTACAGCCAAGCCAGCAGAGATGGCCGAGATGGCAGATTGTTTCGATCTCCCAGCCGTGTTTGAACAGAGGCCCGCAGCTGGCATCTCGCATTGCTGTGACTGTTGCTTCCATCAAGGCAACGATGAGCTCTGCGAACGATTCCATATGCGATTGATCCTCGAGGTCAACACGCAGTTCCAGTCTCATCAGGATTGCTGCGGCTGCGCGAAGGATGGGCACAGCGAAAAGCATCGCGGGCAGAGTGTCGTTGAGTGCTCGCTCAATGTATGCCGGGAAGACTGCCTTCATGAAGTCCAATTGCGATGCAATGTCGAGTAGGAACTTGCCATCGTTATCCACGTAGCTCGGGTCGTTGGCAGCAAACAACCCGACCAGATGCTGGAAGAATTGCTCTTCCTTGTCACTATCCCATGCCATTTCGCAAGCTGTGCGCAAGACCGTGGCCATGTACTCGGTGTCACAGCGGTCACGTCGATTCCCATCCAATAGACGAATAAAGAGGCGCTCAAGAAAGAAGACCTTGTCCTCGAATCCTTTCTGATCTAGATTAAGGAACCATGGGTCGATTGCGAAGCCTGGGCTCTTGTACATGCTGAGTCGGAATATTACTTTCTGCATGAAGATGGTCCATTCTGGCCTTGCTGCCCCATCGAGTTGTTCCCATGTTTGCTTCATAGCCCTCTCGATCTTCGTCATCAATTCATCCCATTGATGTTTAGTGAGCTTTGCGCTAGAAGGTGGATCGGCATCATTTTGAACGCTGCAGGCATAGCGGATAACATGGTCGACGATTGAGAAGCGATATTTGATGATATCAGACCGGTCAAAGAAGAACGAAGAGGCGCCGTTTGAAATGGTTCGACGTAGCTCATCAAGACTGAACGCATCTGGAATGCTTTCCATCAGCTGGTTCGTCAGGCGGTGTTCGAACTTGATCATCGTTTCCGGCTTTAACATTGACCGCAACCAGGTGGAGACGAAAGGACAGGGATTAGCCAAAATGACGTTCCTATCCGTTGCAATTTTGCTCAGTAGCAACACTTGACATTGCCTCGCGATTTCGGTGTCGGCAATTTGTGGAAAGGACAATTGAGACCGAGCGGTCAGAAACTGATCCCCGTGATAGTAGCCACCGTCTATCATCAGCTTTCCGATGGCAAACCAGGTGTCGGTCAAAGACATCAACAAAACATCGTCTGGAGGATCGCCACGGTTAAGCTGGTCAACAAGCACGCCACGAATGTCTCGCATAAGAGAACGTATTTCGTCGTTAACATTTCCGACTTTCTTGAGATAGGACGTGAAGAGGTCGAAGATTCCGCTGACCACAATATCACCAAGACCTTGTTTAGAGTAGCATGAAACAGTCAGACTATTCACCTCTTCACGAGTGAGGAGGCACGAAACCTGATCTTGATTGGCACAGAGATCAATCGCTGTAGCATACCGCTTTGCAATATTGAGGATGCAGTCAACCGTAGTGTTTCGATTGGCTCGATGAATACGTTTCTCGTCCTCATGCATGCTATTGTCGATATTTGGAATCCGCGACAGCTTATCGCGCATGGAGAAGAACATGCTCAGAAGCCACTGTCCTAGCTCTAGGAGCTCCACACGACCTGCAGCTTGACCTGTGGCCCGGGAGAGTGCCGAGTTGGCGACATTTTCCCAACATCGTACAATGACTTTGCGGACAGCATCATGAGCTGTAGGAAAGTCGATGTAGTCTCTAATCTGTGATAACTCTGGTTTGAACCCGATAGGTGCATAGTGATACAGCGTCGTGAAAAGGGTGTATCGGTTTGATATTGCAGCGAGGTCAAGGTCTGGTAGTGGGTAGTCTTCATCGACGAGCATTGCATTGTCATCTAGATTGTCGCGGCCCTTATTAGGTAACAAGATGAACAAGAGAGAGCGTTTGCGAAGTGCCAGTTTTCGAACATGCTCTTCAGTCTCGTAGTCTGCTAGAGGTTGGGCCGCCAAAGTGATGGCCGTGAGCTTCAGGAAAATGTGGAAGTCTGTGTCGGTAGCCTCCAGGACTAGTTGTTCGGGACGCGTCAGATGATCGACGAATGGAGGCACCCCATCCGAAAGATTCGACGCAAAGAGTTCAAGCATGTTGTTTGTCTTGTCCGAATAGTACTTGAACATCTGCTTTAGCAAACTGTCGGCGGTGTCGATTTGAAAATTTCGTGCGAAGACGAAACACCATCGAAAAATGACCAGACCGAATCGCTCCAGCTTCCTTACTTGGTGTATTTTGGCTTTGAATCGCATGCTGTAACTCGCCCTTTTCTCGACAAAAAACTTGAGAAATTCTGACACGTAAGTCGGAAGTAGACGAAGAAGAGAGCAGCCCAGAGAGCTCGCGGAGCTGGCATCGGAATGTGTTGTGAGTCCATGCAGTCCAACGATGGAAAGGATGCAGCCAAGTACGACAACCGTGAAAGCGAGTGACTCAGCTTGAGACTCCCAAACCATCCCCGCTTTGCCATGGGTAGAGAGGATGTTTTCTAAGTAGATATTCCACTCTTGGTGAGGGCCGAGGCGGTGTATCAGGAAGACTGTCTCGATTTCCGTTGTGGGTGTGAATTGATGCCCATCTAGTACAGAGTCACTCTCGAGCTGAGCAGCGATGTAACAGAAGAGCTGAGCGACGTTTTGTTTCCGGAAAGCAAGTTCCCATGCAAGGCTGGCAATGTTCTTCCAAGTTTTCGAGGTCTTGCCGCGAATTGTTTCTGGAAAGCCCGTGATTTTGGTACATTGATAGATTTGATATCCTAGAATGAGAAAACCATTCAGGACCTTTAAAGCCTGCGAGACATGCGGTTTGCTTGTGGCGGTGTTGCATATAGCGATGGCCTGCCATAGATTTTCAATCGACTTCGATGTTAAGTGGATGAAGGCTTCCAACTCTTGGTTATTTGAGAAGGAGAGGCTCTCATTGGCGTAAGTGATTATGGTTTCGACCGACTCCGCAGCCTGACTCAACAGACGCGCTTGTTCATCTGGTGTGGCGTCAGACGTGGCAATAGCGCCGCAGATGATCTCGAAGATTTCTTGAAAAGCGTCTCGAATGATGCTTTCAACTTCTGTGGACCAACCGGTGGCGCGGAGCGTGCGTTGCGACTTGGGAGTGGTAATTGAGCTCTGGGACCATTGTGGTTGGAACAGTCGAGTGGTATCAGCCATAGAGGACAATGTGGCGTCTAGCAAACGAACGCGGACAGACGTAGAGTCATGGGGAAATGGCGTATCTCGCCAGGAGCTTGTTCCTGGAGGGTATTGAATGGCATAGGAGATAATGTCGTTGTCATCGTCTAATTTCAAAGTCTGAAGACACAGGACATCATGTTGATCGAATCCATTGGCGAAACGCGTGCTGAGCGCGATGGGACGTTGCTTCCTAGTTTCAGAACTTAGTCTCTCTGGGTTCATGGCTGATGAAAGAAATACTTACTTTGGAGGACGTGATTGGGGGAGTGGTGGAGAGGGTGGAGAGAGGTCTTGATTTCTGGAGCTTGAGTCAGCATCAACCTGTTGTGGATCGTTGCGAGGAACGCACTCTACAGGTTGCGCCATGGGAAGGGTTGCTTGAATTGAAGATTCTGTACAAGCTTTCTGTGGAAGGTTCTGACGAGGTCGCTTTTGTCTCTGTCGTGCTGCTTGGGGAACACGTTTTTCGATTGTGAAAGGATTCGTAGGCGCGAGTGCCGGTTCTTCAGGCTTCTCTCTGTTCTGCTGAAGGGTTGGAATCGGCTCACGCGCGTTGAGATGACTACGACGCGTCGCTCGAGGCTTGAAATAGTCGAGAATCGCGGAACGACGATCAATTGAGGGAGCAATAGATTCGTCTCGCAATGAGCGAGACCGACTTTGATGATTGTGAATGCGCTCGAGTATGGCTCTAGTGGTTTGCTTCAAAGATTTGAGGCGAGGGTCTGAAAAGTAAATGTCGTTGTTAGGAGTACGTGTTGGAGCGGCAGTATTTTCAAACGTTATGTCGTCGACACTGTGCGGCTGAGCCAATAAGGGGGTTGCGGCTTTGGCAATGTCGCTGGGTTTGACAGAATGATCTGCCTGATTTCGATGGCCTCTCCAACTCCTCATCCCTTCATTCACATCCTCCGTATCTCTCATTGTTGCCAGCCTGAAAAACTTCTTTGATGGGTCCTGCTTCCGTGCCGAACTCTGGGTAGTGCGTCTCGATGCAATCCTTAAAAACAGTGGTACCTCTTTCTCCCCGAAACCAGGAGCGTCCAAAATCGTCATTTGCGGCTTTCTTTGCTTCCTCTTGATCTTCTTGCGCGGCCGCGCCTCATTATTTGATCCAGAGGCAGCAGCCATTCTCTGGCGTCGAGAGGATGACCTTGGACCAGTAACGCTCTCGCTACCTTCGGAGGTGTTCTTCCTGGACCAAACAACTTTCAATCGCTGCTGTTTCTGTCCAGCATACGACCTTCTCTGTCGAGGAGCCAGCATAGCATCGATGGTATTATCTTCAATGACATCGTCCTCAAATGGCCCGGGCCCTTCGTATTCGACCCCTCTCATTTCATCGCTGGCAGGGCTAGTTGGCTGGCTCTCTGACGAAGCTTCCAAATCGGCGACATCAGCACTCAAAATATGACCTTTAGCTCTTCCTCCAGAGGACGAGACGTGTTGAGCTATCCCTTTCTCTAAAGTCCTCTTGACGGGGGACTGGGGTCGGTTTCGAGGACCACGATTGTCCTTCCGTTGCTGCTTCATATCCAACGTTAGCCAGGATGCCGGCAAGACTCCCTTCATTTTGCGACGCATTTGTCGGATACCGCGAAATCCATCCTCCATACTCTCTTCTAACTCAGATGGCGCTGATAAATCGTCACTGATACTGATGACGTCGGTCTCTGAATCAGAAAAACTGAGGGTTTCGCTGAACCTCCTCTTCGAAGCCCGCTTGTCTGAAGAGACCAAGGGAGTTGGGAGCAGCACGGGTGTACTATTCCCTATTGATGCTTCTGCATTGTTGTTCACCTCACCGACTTGCGAATATTGTCCACCACCAGATCGAGGCGGGGAAAGTGGAATTATGGAACTTGCGCTACCATGTTTGGATGCATTCCTGACAGCTATGCCATCGTCGAGAAGATCATGGATGGGAAATTCGTCAATTAATCTTGGTGACTGTGACACTGGCGCACGCTTGGGCCTCTTCAGTTTCGAAATGGAAGAGGTCGCAGTTCTGCCTTTGAGTATGTCCGACAAGTCCGGAAGATCATCATCATTGTCGGAATCAGACACAAGAGGATATATCCGGAGACGTGTCCCACGTATCGGGCTTTGAGATTCATCATTTCCAGTTACCTGGGAATCATCATACCCTGGCTCTGGTGCAGGACTTAAGCGTCGAACCTGACTATCCGAATGGTCGGCTTGGCTGCTTTCATATGCTGTGCTGCCCTGGGATTCGTCCTTGGCACTTTCTCGCAGATGTGAAGGCGGGTCTGGTGCGCGAACAGGGTGCAAGCCCCGATCTTTCCAAGTTTGTCTATACCTAGCATCCTCAATTGCGTAGGGATGAAGTTGGATTGGAGCACGAGGTCTAAAGCATCGTCTCCGTGAGGCGTCAGCAGATGGACCCGGCGACAATCTATTGTCAGCGGAGGTCTGATCTATCGCCACCTCGGTAAGTGCAGCTGGCCGCGATTGCCCTGACTGACTTTTGAAGGGTGAAGTACGCACTGACGAGGGGACCGAAGACAGAGGGCTGTCAGTGTCGCTGTTGATGCCAGAGTCCACGGAGCCAAGAACATCATGCACGGTCCGCAGACATCTCTTGATTTCAGCTTCGAGCTTCGCAGCAGTCGAATTCAAATGGGAGTCAGAGGCCTGCGACGATATCAGATGGCCACTTTGAGAATCATGCTGCACCCCGTTTGTGCGGGTCGGTCCAGGGTGGTGATGCGCGCCATGGTTGTCAGATTTGTTGCTGCTTTGCTTTGTCGGATCGTCGTCGTCACCTGGGACAGTGTCACTTTCCTTCACAATGGCTTGTTTCACCGAAGCCTGCACATTAACTGCGCCGGTCTTGGAAGTTGTCCCGCGGGTATGGTCGATGTTGAGACTGCCTCCTCCCTCTTCTTCCGCTTCATCATCGTCGTCAGAGTCTGGTACATAGCCACGCTCCCTCCAGTTTACCATCGCTACTGCATTCCATGATCTTCCCGTGAACACAGGCCAGAAATTGTCGGTATCGGTGAGGGGTTGCTGGTTTTTTTTGAGTCGCGTCTTGAGCGTCACGGACGCGCCGAGGCTGCAAATGGTGAACAGCGCCAAGGCCAGCCGCGGAATCTCTTCCGATTGGTCCCGTGACTTTAAGACTCTCGCAAACCCTTTGAACTCATGCGACATTTCAGAGTCAGTATCCGATAAAGGGCCATTCGGGTGGACAGAAATGAGTTATCGAATAGCCGGTTGGGCCCTAGTCATTGGGTTTGGTGTGCTCAATGGTAACACTATATCTCTACGCTGCACATCGATCATCACTAAAATCTTCTATAGGTTACATGACCTTCAAGCCTGCCTTTGAAGCCCGAGAATTGGAGAAGCTGAAGGAAGAGTTGGTCCATGTTTCCGGTGACAACTGGGACAGGTGCTGATGCTATCACTTTGAAAATAGGGAGCGGGCTGCTTCGGAGCTTGGACCGAACATGATCGAAATCCACGCACAGGCAAGCGACAATACGATCTCGTCAGACCGAAGCACGCTGAAGCACGTGCGAATGAGTGACAAAGCTACGCCCAGGTGACAGGCGCTCACTGTCGACTCCGAATAAGATGTTGACTGCAAGAGCTGTGGGAATAGTGCTGCATCGGAACGGGATAGGGCCGTAGGGTTAACACGGAACCTACAATTGCGAGCAGCTCCCTCCCCATCAACCACCTTTCAACAGTGAGAGGCTGCATTGTATGATCAATGGGGGATGTGTTTCATAACTAGAGCACTCGCAGTATGCAGTCTCCAAGTTACACGCCCTTAGAAGATCGACAACGCAACATTTGAGGACTGTTAGGCACCAGAATTGCACCGCGGTCTGGTAACGCATTCAGATGCCTGGTCAGGAGGCTCTGGAAGGATTGGGAGGGGGTCACCTTGCTTGTGCAAGACGCCTGAGTCTACTGTGATTCAGCGAGTCAATGATTGTTGGAAGCACTGTTAGGATATGGATCCTGGTGGATATTGTTGTATGAGGAACAAAAGTTGCCCGCCCAATCATGGACCGGGTGGCACCGAGGTGGCTTCAAGGACGGGAAAGAGAAAAGACTCTCTGAGCTGAAGGCATAATGTCTTCCAACATCGTTGTGACAACTGCAGCTGGTACGATGGGGCCGCTGATGCATAGCAGTGTGGTATCCTTAACGTATGATTAGATCGCTGCTGACTTGAAAATTGTATGCTAAGAGCTGCTGCAATCTTATAGCTAGATACTTGGGGTTAGGAAGATGGTCGTAATTCTGTGGGATTCGCGGACGTTTCAGACCATGAGGCTTTCTTTCCATTTCTGAGTAACTCGGTTTCTTCTATACTTCCACGTCTCTAGAAGTTGTTAGGTGAGCACGGGGTGAATGTACCGCGATCGGCCATTATTCGATCTCTTGAATAAGGACATTGCCGTTGGGTGGCAGCGGAGGTCCAAAGTAGCGGCCGACTTTCTTTCCTAACCATTCTTCTGGTACGCCCAATCTCATACCATCTTGCGTACTGACCCATCTGGTATAGATTGGATTGGCCCTCTGTGGGAGGTCTTCCTCTTCGAATGGTGATCCTGCTGCTGCTGCGGCAGCCGCAGCAGCGGCCAAAGTCTCTGGTTTTGGAGCGGCACCTCGCGCCTTAGAAACTTGAGGTTTGAGCTGAACGGCGGTTAGCGCGAGGTATGAAGGAACTAAGGGCATCCGCATACCAATCTATTCAAGGCGGCCGTCTTCTCCTCCTGGACTTTGCGCTTGGTCAGTTCTTTTCGCTTTCTAGCGTGTTCGTCCTTCTTCATTGCTTTTTCCTCATCCGTGAAGAACTAAACCAGTTAGTGGTGAGCACCAGGACTGACGGCCGATATCCTTTTGCGCCATACCTTTCGCTGCTGCGGTGCCATATCCAACGCCATCAGAGAACCTTGATCCTCTGGCCTGCCCCTTTGCCTCTTCGTCATTCTGGTCGGGTCGGGAGTGGCGGCCCCAGAAGCAGGTGTCTCGTCGCTGCTGTCGTCAAGCTCATCCTCATCTTCGTCTTCCTCGTCGAGTTCTTCATCTTCGACCGGTGCGTCTTCTTCGACCACAATCTCTTCTTCCTCACCCTCGGCGTCTTCGTCGTGCACGTTTATTGTGGGTTCCTCTTCCTCATCAGAGAGCTCGGATGAATTGCCGACCTCATCATCATCCTCGACCGACTCATCTTCTGATTCATCCTCCATCTCTTGCTCCTCGACGGATTTGAGAGGGCCAACCTTGGCGGGAGTGACGATAAGCTTGGGCTTGGCTGATGATTTGCTGTCCCCTTTGGCAGGGGGCTTCAACGTTATCTTTGGCGGTTTGGGCGGAGCATGACGCCTAGGTGGAGGCGGAGGCGGAGGCGGAGGTGCGTCTTCCATTTCCACGTCTTCATCATCAGTGCCCCCCTCAGGCTCAGCACCGAGCTGGTCGAAGTCGTTGGGCTCCTCTTCCTCTTCTTCCTCTTCCTCCTCCTCTTCCTCTTCCTCGTCTTCCTCTTCATCTTCAATGTCGCTCTCACCGTACTCTGCATATGTCGGTCGTCTACTACCCCGAGCGCTGGCCCTTGCAGCCACGGCAGTACGTCGACTACTTCGAGGCGCGTTGAGGACTTTGCCTCCACCCAGGGTGTCATGAAGCGAATCCACTTCATTGGCCCGCATGACTTCTCGCAACTTGCTTGGAGGAGCCTTGACGGTCAATTTGAGGCTTTGTCGTCGATCATCTGCAGAGCTAGATCCGCGCTGAACCGTGGCGGAAGAGACATTGCTCGCAGTAGTCGATGCCCCCGATCGGCGTGGTCGGGACGACGCTGGGGTCGACGCTGCCGAAGATCTGAAAGTCTGATTAGCTCTTGCATCAAGACGAAGTGTATAGCACAAGGTAATGAAAGGCATGATGGATGACAGGCTTAGAGGCTGTTTTTTCCTGTCTGAGGGAAAGCTCGATGAAGATTTCTGGTTGATGTAACAGTTACAGAAAGAGGAGATTGAACAGGTGAGATAGGCGATGATTCGATTGAATGGGGATTGACAGTGATCAGAGCAGACATTCACTTTTGTCTTGAACACTGCTCTCATCTCATGTTGCTGGTGGCGAGTTCCAACCTCACTGAACGCCAATGTGACAAGACACGAGCTTCTTCATCCAGAAATCGCCGGCAATTGAAACATCCGCAGATGTCGTTGTAACCAAACCAGAAACTGGCACTTACTCATATCTGCCTGCTCGCCTCATTGAGTCGGATCTTCTTGGATCATAATCTTCACCGCTGCCCAGGTCTGAGTCTTCTGTAAAGTCCTCAGTGGCCTCACTAATCTGGCGTCGCACGCGTCGGCTTCTATCTGTCATTTTTTTCCTGAGGTTCCAGGCTCGGCTAAATGCCTAGGCTCTCCGCTGTCGCTGGTCTGTGTCTGGCCTGGATTGTCGTGGAGTTCTCGCGTCAGAGGTCGTATTTTCGTGCTTGGTGGCTATCCCTAATTCTAGCATCGATGCCTTCGATTTCACACGTGCTCAAATAAATGCTTTGACGATAAATATGACTGCCAAACTTGCTCAAATCCAGAAATACATAAGTAACCAACCCTTGATGTGAAAACTTTCGAATGATGCGCGGGAAATGGATGGTTGCTGTGGCTGTTCCCACGGGACCACAATTGTGGCGGATGTGGCTGGTGCCCTCCAGCCCTGCGACTTCCGCACCTGCGCCGTCATGTCAAATGAGCCGAGGCTGGCATTCTCACCCAGCACCATTTCGTTTGTGAACCAAGTGAAACGGTCGCGTTCTCTATTCTCCCAGTCCAACCATTGCGATAGATTTCCCATCGCTACAATATGGCCGACCAAGATTCCAAGAGTCCTTCCATTCCCTCATGGCAGCAACAATACAAGTCGGAACCAACAGACGGGCGCACATCGTCCGACATCCAACCTCCAGATCACAGCACAGAACGACCTTCGCCGTCGTCAGAACGACCTCTTCTTGAGCAAGCCCAGAAGTTCCTCGAAGACCAATCGATACGAGGCGCTCCTCGTGAACGCAAAGTCGCATTCTTACAGAAGAAAGGTCTGCAAGCAGAAGATATAGAAAAGATCCTTGGCCCTGAACCCTCGCACTCTCCGCCAATCCCCAACGACTCCTCCGAACTGAAGACAATACATGACAGCAGTCAGTCGCCGGCGTCAAAGGGACAGGAAACGGAGACAGCGTCAAACCCACCCAGTGAAGAGGCGACACCACAATCTATAACAGTCACGCAGAAGCGAGATGTTCCTCCGATCATCACCTATCCCGAATTCTTGCTCAAACCCCAAAAGCCGCCTCCGTTGGTTACTTTCGAACGCCTTGCTCACGCAGCCTACGTATTCGCTGGCGTATCCGCCCTGACATGGGCCGCAAGCAAATACATCGTACAGCCCATGCTCGAATCCCTAACCGAAGCTCGCCACGACCTTGCCGAAACGGCAAAAGCAGACCTTGAAACGTTTAACAAGAAGCTTGAATCCACGGTATCCCACGTTCCCTACATTCCGAGCAGCGCAATCCTCCAACAACAAAAAGCCCAAGATGACGATGATGTCGAATCCACGGATTCAGACCCAACGGAACTTTTCCACCGCGACGTCGCAACACAAACATCTCCTCGGCCATCTCGGTCTATGTCCCTCTCCTCCTTCCGGGGCAACGAGTATCTGTCCTCACAAGATCCCACAACCTCACAGTCTTCGCGCTTGCGCTCCCTGCACTCCACCCTCTACTCTCTGCTGAACTCCCAAAACAGTAGCTATTCCCAAGATCGCCTAAAAGAATCCATGAGTGGCTTCCAGGCCGTCATCGATAAACTTGAAGCAAGTCACAACCCTTTTCAGGTTGAGTTCGTGGGGTCATTCACCAGCTACAGCGGACCGGGGTCATCGGCGGCGACAGGTGCAGATAATAAACAAAAGAAGCAAATCAGTGAGACCGCGAAGTTCAAGAACGAGATCCGTGCGTTGAAAGGCGCCTTGCTCAGTTCGAGGAATTTTCCCACGGCGAGGCCGGCACAGCCATTCACGTTGCCGACCAGATGAGCACCTTCGAGCAGCCGCAATGGATTGTGAAAGGAGTAGGTCCCATGAAGGGTGATACATGAACTCTAGATACAAATAATGTTGGAGCTCCCAATGGTTGAAGATTTTCAAAGGCGTTGACCGTCACCGAACAGTATTTCACAATTAGCGTGTGTTTGACAAGAACAGCTTCCTCGGTAGCAATGTCTTCAATCAGCCATTTTTTCCTTTCTTCTCAATCTTATCATTCCTCTATGAGCGGCTCGTGCATGGGGCACACGGGCTCTACATACGTTGCAATACTCAGAGCTGAGTGAGAATCATGGTCGCTTGCTCCGGAATACAGTCAGTCGTGCATCCCAGCAGCATTGCGCTCTCGTTGACGCAAATCGACACTATTCTACCTACCCTCTGGCCGTGGAAGTCGTGTTCATGCTTCATGCTTCATGTTCATGCAAATGCTCCGTCTCCCCGCCCAGAACGCTTGTCTTGTCCGAGGGAATGCCCCTTTTTCAAGGTCCCGCAAGAGCTGTCAGCTGCCCTTAAGGTGTGGCCCTACACATTCCCACCAGCCTCTTCACACCCACCATCCAGTGTCCACACTCCTCCACTTTGTTGGTATGCACATCCATCTGAATCTCCTGCGCCTTGACAAAGTCCCTTCCCTCCAGGGCCTGAGCCAACTCAACCAGTTGAGCAACCGTGTCTGGCTTCAGCAGATCCTCATTGTTCAGATGGTCGAAGAGGATATCAAGTCGTTTCTCGGTGTCGACGACTTGTGCTTTAAACGATTGTGGAGCTCGGGCTTTGACGCGGGACATCTCGGACGAGAGAATGGTGTAGATCGGTTGCGCGGAGGGAGAAATGTGCGTCCGATCGCCTTTGGCTGTACAGAAACTGGTCAGCTTCGACAAGCGGGTAAAGGATAGATTTTCAACTCACGATATTTCCGCGCCGGAGGAGTAGCGGACGCTTTATTTGAACCCGCGGTGCCAGGCCTGGAGGGTGGCCTTTGTGGGGCAGAACCGCTGGCTGTGGGAGGCGGACCGGAAGAGATGAACTGCTGCTGTGGTGTTGGTATCGGCGGCGCCGTAGCTGACTGTGGTGTCTGCGTTGGCTGTGGTGGACCATAGCTCGTTTGCCGAGTCGGTTGTGATTGATGGGTTGGGGCATAGGGATTCGTGGGAGGAGGAGGCGCTTGGTAGGATGAACTTTGGGGGGGTGGTGCGATAGATGGGCGTGTAGTTGGCGCCGTCGTATGCTGAGTCCCCGTTACTGGCGCATATCTATTGGGGGCGGTAGGAGCGTGAGAAGGGGGAGCGTTGTATGGAGATGGACCTCTCGGAATCGGTGACGTAATATTTTGCCCGATTGGAGGAGATGTCAAAGTCGACGGTGCGTAAGGATTGCTTGCTGATGGAGGTCGCTCAAAAGATGGTTGACCACCTAGAGGAGACGTCACTCGGGGAGGTGGACCCGTCCCTTTGGGTGGAGGAGGAACTGGCGACGATCTCTGCCTTGAACCAAATGGCGGGGCGGGGGGAAGAGAAGTTATCTGTCCCGGCGGTGGACTGAATGGGTTTTGAGCAGGCTGTGGAGGAACGCTGGGTGTTCCTCTTCTCGAAGTGGGAGGCTTGACAAAACCCTCCGGAATATCATTCCAATTGGACATGCCTTTGTCCTGAGATGGAGGAGGGATAGCAGGAGATTGATTATATCTCGGAGGTGGTTGGATAGGATTTGCCTGCGGAATGCCGTATGGGCCGGGAGTAGGGCCGGGAGTCATTCTCATTTGTTGTGGAGGTTGATACCCACCGCCAACGGGTGCATATGGATTTGATGGTGCACTGCTAGTTGTGAGAGGCGCATAGGGGTTGCTCGGTTGCAGGTTGCTTGCGCCATAAGGAGTTGAGACCTGAGGAGTTGGAGGAGTAAATGCAGTTGTCGGAGGCTGAAATTGTGACGTGCCTGGCAAGGGCTTGTTTCTCGTCGTTGTGGATGTCGTTTGCGGAATAGTAGGTGGAGCGACTGTCTTCTTCCTTGCCTGTTGAATCCGGCCTCTTGCGACATCCGCCCCTGGATAGTTTGCTGGAAGAAGATCGAGATATTTCTGAGCAACATCGAGCTGGCCCGATCCAGCCACAATGTCAGCATATTCCAGGTATTTGCCGTACAGAGCTTCCAGCTTCCACTCCCCAGTCTTGGAAAGCTCTTCATCCTTGAAATTCACCACTTGTCGGAAGATGGTAACTTTTTCTATGAAATCTTGGAGACCGCGGGCATGCAGGGAAAATGCAGAAGATGCGTCCGCTTCCGAGGCTCCAGCCTCCTCATGCTCTCTGAGCTCTTGAATCCAGATGGTGACCACCTTCTCCAACTTGGAACCAGCTAAGAAGCAGAACGAAGCATCTTTCCGAGAAACTGAAGAAAGATCATCCATCTGTTCCTCAATCCTGTCTCCAAGTGCTTCGCAAAGATCTGGAAACTCTTGTTCGTCAGCAAAAGTGCACAGTGTAGCCATGACTTCCTTCCAGTTCGCCAGATCGGCATTGTGGACTGTATCCCATAGATTTTTGCCAACGACCGAGGCGAGAAGACGGAGGTAGTTTGGTCCACTAGATTGTTTCGCGAGATATGCTTCTTGCGCTTTCTTAATGCAGGCTTCACCGCCGCAGATGGCAATCATGAAAGCATCCGACATTCTGTTCTCCTGCAAACATACGTCCAGAGCTTTCTCAAACTGTCCCAAAATCAAAGCTCTTGTGATCTTGCGGTCAGCTTGAGACTCCGATCCTGTGTAGATCTGGAATGGATTGTTGGTCCTGGTACCCTTCGTAGCGGCCAATTCCGCTAGGAAGTCTCCGTCGGCTGAGCTTGCGAAAATGGATTGGAAACGTTTGTGGGCTTTTGAGGCGCCGTTGACTGGGGCTTTTTGCTCTTCAGAAGCCTCATCCCCTGGGCGCTGCTCTCCAACACCGTTTGCGCTGTCTTCAGCTGCGTCTTCAAAGCCTAGATATTTCACAAGCTCTGCTCTGGGGTTTTTGGATACCAGAGTCTCAATAACCTTCCAGTCAGCCTTCTCCTCCTCGGTCCTTGCAGTTGCAACACGATCTTCACACAAGCTGGTGAGATCTCCTGACTGAATGGCTTTCTCGAAAGTTTCCGTCGCGCTCCCAACATTCGAATCAACCTCGAATTTGCTGATGCAGATCTGTGAAGCCCTCGATTTTTCGGGGTCCGCTTGTTTAACGCTGATGATTCTTCCACCAAAGCCAAAAGATACGGAAACCGGTCGCTCCAGCCACTTGGGTGCTTTGAGAAGAGAGAATGATGAAGTCTGAGGTTGTGTCTGAGCCTTCGAGAAGAAGTCTTCTCCGTCGGCAGCCTGACTCTGGTCTGTCTGTGTGCTGCTCGGATTCGTGTTCTGTAAGGTTTGGATCTGCAGTTTGCCATCAAAGGAGGCAGTCGCAAACATGTTCGGGTTATGAGGATTCCACCTAGTCTGGAAAGTCCAATTCGTTACAACGGGATAGTCACCATATTCCTCTCCAGTCTGGGGATTCCACAGAATCGTTCTGTTGTCTTTTCCACACGACAGCAAGAGGTCGTGGTCTTGAGGGCACCAGGCAACTGAAAGAACTCCTGAGTCATGCCCACGGAGCACCTTCTCCGGAGCGTTCGAATTTCTGAGATCCCAAACCAAGATAACGGGTTCTTGCTCCAGTGGCACAGCAGTAATCAGCCGCGTGGGCTTTTCAGGGTCCCAAGCAATAGCACTGGCCGGCTTTCGCTGGAAGTTGTTGAGCGTCAAGCTCTCTTTCCTTGTTTTCATATCCCATACTGTCACGAAACCCCCACTGCTCCCTGTGACGAGGATATTTGAGACTCTCTTGTTCCAGTCGAGGCAGTCGATGTCATCGGCTCGAGCAGCAGTGCTTCCGAGTCGTATGGGGGTGTCGAGGTGGTTCAGGTCTGAAATGAACAATTCCCCCTTGGCGCCACCCGTGGCGAGGAAATTCTGTATCTTGGGATTGAATTGTAGGGCCTTGATTGCTCCGCTATGTATTTTGTGGGTGAAGATTGAGGCTTCCACAGTGTTCGTTACGGCCTTATCCGCGTCCCACAGGCCTAGCGATCCATTGTCGAAGGCTCCGGCAATAATCCCTCTCTTGTGTCCAACCTGAGCAGGCGTCCAGGCTAGATCGTGAAAGCTATCTCTCGTTTAGCATGTGCGTTGGTAACGGGTAGAATCACATACCCCGTCTCAGTAGGCAGCATGACGGAGGGCTGCAATTCCTGATTCTGTTCCCCATTCTCCAATCCCAGATCCCAAAGTTCTAGACAAGTCTCATTACTAAAGTCGACGTCGACAGCACCTGATTTTGTGCCGGTTGCGATCCAAGAAGATGGCGCATCGGGAGACCACGCGAAGGCCGCTGTGCGTGGAATTTCCCTAAGGCGCACCATGACGGATGTGGTGCAGTGCTGGTAGAGGGAGAAAGAGAAGGTAAAGGGAGCGAAGAAAGGCTAAGTCATGCAGCAGAGAAGAAAATGACTCCGAGAGAACAGATGGACAGATGGAGCAGGACTCAGCAAGCAGCTGTTCTCATCATTCAATCTGGATATTTCGACTCTCAGATCTGGACACCGTTTGTCCAGACGAGTTTGGGGGCTGCAAAACGGTTAGTGGCCTCCCAGCGTCATCCCTGGCCCTCCTTGCCCTCTCCACGTTGAAACTCCGCACAGCAAGGCCAGATATCAACCCACGTGACCTCGGTTTACCACGTTTTTCAACCTTCAGCCTCCGTGTAGAATCAAACAGCACGAGGATGGCGGAGGGATCAACCCACCCAAACAGTACAATCTACGTCGGTGGACTTGACACGACACTTGTGACTGCTGCGACTCTCTCAGAGGCTTTCGTGCCGTTTGGTGAAATAGCGGACATCACTCTACCCAAGCCAGAGGCGCCGTCTTCGACAGATCTGCATCGTGGTTTTGGATATGTCGAGTTCGAAGATGCGGCTGATGCAAAGGAAGCCATCGACAATATGGATCAGAGCGAACTCTACGGACGTGTGATTAAAGTGGCCATGGCAAAACCGGACAGAAAGGAGACTGGTGAAGTTGGGTTGGGAAGCACAACTGCTATTTGGGAACAAGTGAGTCTAACTAGGATGTTTCGAACGATTGTTTCTTGCGTGTTTGCTTTGCATATCGACGAGGGACCAGTTCTAATCTTTTGTCATTAAGGAGGACTATCTCGCGAAATATGGCACAGCGAACGAAGATAAAGCTGCTGTCGAAAATGCGAAGAACGTAAGGCCGCCGGATCCCATGGACGGATTGGAGGGTCTCGATGTTGCTGGGCCCAAGCCCGAGTGAGCAAAGCCATGATTCGGATGGAATCAACACTATGCCGTGTTGGATAGACTCCAAAACAACAGCATCCAGCCATGACTAGGCACTTCGGCATACACACTTATGGCGCCTAAATCATGTTCGGGAAAACAGTCACTTTCCATGAGAAGCTGGAAAAGGAAGGCAGTCACTGCCTCTAACATTGAGTTCTGCCGTTCTAAGTTGATGAAGGGCTCAGGACTGTCTGCAAAACGGAGTTGGAGAAAGGAATGGGTGGAGAGGCGGGATAGAGAAGCTGGATCATTCTGGCAACAGTGGAGCTGTTGGGCAAAACAATGCTGGGGGAAAGACCAACGCGGTGTGTCAACAAGTCTCTGAAAAGACTGTCAATTTCCTTCAGACTGTAATGCTTATATACACGTCCCCGCTTGGAATCAATTCCATTCTCGGCAATTTAGGACTTCACGATTTTCTCCCGTTCATGTGTGCATTTGCTGATATGGACCCAAGATATCACCCAAGATATCACCATTGCCTTCTTAATGTTTCTGGGAGGATCTCTGCAAGCGAAGGGTCCTGTCGGTCATGAGCTTCCTGCCCATGGCAAAGCAAGCAGCGAACAAGGCGAAGCTAAGGAGAGCAAACAGGTCAGCATTCGTCTCCCGACCCAATGTTCTTGTCTTGTATTTTGTATTTTTATATTCGGCGGGGATGGATATACGTACGAAATGACAACACCGAGGGGAAGCAGTTCCGGAGGGATTCTCTTCAGCATGCGGATTCTTTGGGTGATGGTGTGTGCTGGGATGTGTCAGTGTCAATTGCTTCCTTCAAGGTGTACTTCGTATAGGTCAGGCCCTCTTACCGCTTTGGTCATCCTCCTGTTAGAGTTGGTTAGCATCGTCATCCCAGAGTTCAGGAAATCATCTTGCTCACCTTTGTTCTGAACCTGGTGCGGGTGTTATGGAACGGCCTGGCAGTCTGTTTCTGGGCGGATTGACGGAAGGCAGCTTGCCTCAAGCCGACCGACCGAAGAGGCTGAAGCCTCAAGAGTCTTGCAGTGTTCATCCTTGCCGTGTAATGGTAGGCGGAGTGGAGAGGTGGAAGCCGAGCTGAAGAGAATGATCTTTGCAACAACGGAAAGAAGTGACGTTGGAGTCGCAGGTGAAGTTGCTCCCAAGCTCTCCGTAGAAAAGGAGCCAATCAGAGTCAGGCCACGCAGGTTGCGTCTTAGTAGCTTTTGAAACCTCCGACTTTCAACTCGCTGCAAGGCCTCAGGTGACAACCTCCCCTCTGAAGCTTCCCTTTTCAACTCAACCTCAGCACTCGAGCTTCCTTTTTGCATTCCACCGCGGCCACGAAAAGATTCTTTTCTCCGCCAAGATGACTCATATCGAGACTCCCGACGCCGATGAGCTCGGTGGAAACGTCACCAAGCCCTTCAAGTTCGTTACTGGTACGAAGAATTCATTTCCATCACTGCTTTGAAGGTCGCGCTGACGTTGCTATAGCTGGATACGACGCCCGCTTCCCTAACCAGAACCAGTACGTTCCCTTCCATACCGGCCGAAGACATCCAACAGCCTAACCATGGAGATCATAGGACAAAGCACTGCTGGCAAAACTACGTCGACTATCACAAGTGCATCCTTGCAAAGGGCGAAGACTTCAAGCCATGTAGACAGGTACATGTACAGGAGCACTAGAGTGGGAGGCCAGCGCTGACCTGTCGCAGTTCTATTTGGCGTATCGATCATTGTGCCCTAGCTCCTGGATCCATAGATGGGACGATCAACGTGAAGCTGGAAACTTCCCTGTCGACTTGGAGCATTAGGCACATGAATGGGTTATCGTGACGCAGATGGGAGAGAAAGAAGCGGCCTGCAGTTGCGGAGTTCCCATGGCAAGCTCAAGATGGCATGGATATTGTACATAGACCCGGATGAATCCAGCGGCGGCCAACACACGACTCCATCCCATACAGCTAGGTACATTGACCAATGTATCCTTCTACTGCATCTGAATCTGTGTGTATCATGCACCGCAGAGACCTGTGCATTGGGCGCCGGAAATGTCCACTTACATTCGTCAGCTCAAGAACAACCAGAACACTCATATCGTGCTGATGGGCAAAATTTCCATTGGTTCATGGACAGATGGTGCTGAGCTCAATGTCCCAAGTGAGATTCACGCTATCATTTTGAGGGCAATGTGAGGCCCATGGTCCTGTTTTGCCAGTTCACCGCTGCATATGTCGCCCTTGATCCAAAGGGCCGGTGCGTCACAGCACCAGATGCAGTTGCTCATGTGAGCTCTGGATTCTTCTATTCGATGCTTGAGCTAACGCTCTCAATGCCAACCACCCAAAACCTGCTGTTGTCCACCAGATCGCCTGTCAGGACCAACATAGCAGTGAGACAATGATGAAGCCGCATAGCCGTCATCTTCCGAAAGACTCCTCTTGGGTCTTTCTCTATCCGGCGTCGATGTATGCTCTCTAGACACCGCAGTTCATCCATTTCTTTCATTTCTTGACCGAACTCCTCCTCAACGCTTCCAACAACTCGGGCCGGGAGTTCAACAGCTGAACTGCTTGTGCATAAGCATACCATTGCCTAGATCTCTTGTTTTTCTCGGGCCAATTGTCTTTTTCCTCAGTCACGATGGCTTCAAAGAAGTGGTAACTTGCTTTAGGCGCGTGTTTCGTGACGGCAGTTGTTGGTCTCGTATCCGGAATGTGACCTAGGTCTCTTTCGACCTTGCAAATGATCCCAGCTTCCTCCCACGCCTCTCGGACAGCGGCAACTGACGCCGAAGCCTCGTCCAGTTCCCAGCCGCCTTTGGGAAGGACCCAGCCATTCCGGCGGGAGGACTGGATCAGTAGAACTCGGGTCTTGTCTGCAGACAGGGGGACAACGCCGGCGACCAGTCTCTCGCCCTTGGTTCCATAGCCTGAGACACAATAAGCCCGTGAAATGCAAGGAGGCAAAACAAAGCAGTGGGCACACATACGTTGGTTCGCTGTGCCGGTGCGAGAGGTCATGGACATTTCTTTGGCCATGGTGGTGGAAACCGTCGGGCCTGGGCGGACGGCCACAGACCAGAAGTTAAGGAAAGACTTTGGTCACGGCTTTCTCTGAGGTAGTTCTGGGCTAGCAGAGGGCAGAAGCGAACGTGAAAAGAGACGGTGAAGGGAGGGCACGTGGGAACACTGTCGAGCTGCTCCAGTGCAAGGCGGGCGAGGTTCAGTCTCTAGGAAGAGAGGACGAAGGGATCAAAGATGACCCATGGTGACGATAGCAGAGGGTGCGATACAGCGCATGAATGAGGGATGCCTTCAGTCCCGTGTGGCACGGGGCTGAGGGAACGAGGTTGACGTGCAGAGCATTCTGAGAAAGGGAGCAGCCATAGTTATGTAGCCTTTGGGCAAGTTTAGTTTTTTTGGTAGTGACTCTCGGAGGTGCAGGTGCATAGTGCCATAGTGGGTGGACACACATGGGGGAGCACGAAAAAAACATCAGTAGCGGCGATTTCCTGACCTGGGCGCAGGCAAGCTGGTGGGCGCAGGCGAATCGCAGTCTCCCACCACCACTTCATTGTTCCCATGTTCCATGTTCCATGTTCCCATTCCTCTGCCTTCTTCATCATTGCTCAATCCGCCAACGCCTCATGACTGCTGAGACTAGGGAGACTGCAGCAGGAGACAGACTACCACACTCTCGCTCACGGTCGAGTGGGATTTTTGGTGTTTTATTTGGCTTCCAAAACGGCATCAGAAGCTTGCCCACCGACTAATTGCAAGGTTCCAGCACATCTGGTTCGCTCGACTCGCTGCGGCCCATGCAGTGGTTCCTTGCCCTGTTCCCTCGCATTTCTCTTCGCTGGCTCGTTGGCCCATGTCATCCAAAACGCTTCCGTGTCCACTTCCACCGCTTCCACGCCATTCCCCCCCCCCGAATCGAAGCACACGACGAACATACACGTGCCCGTCTTCACGTTTATACTGGTCTAAAATTCTGATACTCGACCCCAGTCCTCGTCCTTCCTAACCACCTTTTCTGCTTGCCTTGACGCTCCAGATACGGTTCCTCGGCTTGATCGCCCTTTAACACCGCTCATCCTAGCACCTCGAAGTTCGCCTCGAAGCTAACGGTGCCCCTCCTCAGACTGCTCACGCGAGCGCCCAAGATTCAGGCAGTAAGTGGGGGTCTCTCTCCTGGACGACTTGCTGTGTTGCGTTGCGTTGCGTCCCAGCCTTCAAGGTCCAGCACGCCGGACGCTGCCAGAGCATCCTCAATTGGCTACCTTGAGCCCGTTGTGTGCATATCCCACGAGCGAGTTCCACTGGGAGTGCCGCCTGGATATGACCGTGGGTTCTCCGGCTGCTGGCTTGCTCCGTTGATGCCGTCGATACGGATTGTCTGGACAGCGGACATTAATGGGACTTGTCATTGCCTGCCAGTCTATCTACCGCTCGGGGTCAGGTGACATCATATTGGGCCAGGAGAGCCGTCATTGACCTTGCTGGAGGTCTAACTGTCCACACAAGGCACTCGTGTGATGAGAAACTCCAGATATTCCTTCTTCGGCCTGACCAGGGGTTCACTAGTGCCTACGGTTAATCATGACAAACGAAATCTCACTTCTGAAGCCTCTCGGTAAGTGGCTTTTGAGACACACATCTGACCCTAGCCCTACGCAAAGATCATGGCATGGCTCGGCCCGCATGAATCGGTCCATCATTCTATCCTGTACACCTGTTCAGCAAGGCTGGCTTCTTGCGTCGAGCATATGATTGACTCTGACTGTGATCAGGCTATCAGAGAAAAAATTGGTGTGGATATTGCAAGAATGCCACAGGCAGTAGGTCATCATCCTCCCATTGCCCCCGGCGCAGTTGCCACACAGACCCCCTGTCCATGTTTGCTTCTGCGGACGTCTTATCTGAATTGCAGGCTCCTCGTATTACCTGTCGTGTGACAATATGCGAGTCGACCACTACCAATACCTGGTGGACAGGGGCTGGAGGAGATCAGGCTCACTCTATTACAAACCTGATCTCTTGCGGTCATGTTGTCCCCACTACACCCTACGGTACGGGACATTTTGCAACAGAAACAATATGGTGAGGTCCGCTGATATCCACAGTCTAAAGGCGTCAGATTTCCAGGCCAGGAAAGACCAACGACGGGCGATCAACCGATGGAATGACTTCGTGCTCGGCCCAGAGTACAGAAGAAAAGCTGCCATGCTATGCCCACAATCGCGAGAGCAAGTCGGAACCATCTGGTTGCAGATATGCAGCTAATATTCACAGGGAAAAACGTCGTTTCAGGGACAAATTTGACCTGTCTATCTCGGTCCACAAAGCGGAATATGACAATATTAAGCGTCCAGTGAGCAAAAAGACTGGCGTTCCGATCGAACCTGCTCATAATTTCGAAGTCAATCTTGAAGGCGACAGTTTCACGAAGGAGAAGTGAGTAATCATAGCGTGAGCTTGCTGTATACGTCTCACATGCGCCAGATACGATATCTTCCTAAAATATCAGTTGCAAATACACAAAGACCCTGCCTCCCGATGGAAAGAACCTGACTTCAAGCGGTTTCTTTGCACTGGTCTTGACCGGAAGATTCTCAAGATTGGTGGCAAGACACTGAAACTGGGTTCGTACCACCAGTGCTATCGCCTCGACGGGAGGCTGATTGCTGTGGGAGTTCTCGATCTTTTGCCGCATGCTGTCAGCTCAGTCTATCTGTTGTAAGTTTTTGTTCTCTCGCTTCAGAGTACAGTACTCATTCGGAAGCTATGATCCTGAATACGAGCGTTGGGACCTTGGAAAGATGAGTGCTCTTCGAGAGATATCACTTGCAGTAGAGGCCGGTTATGAATACTATTACATGGGTATATTGAGAGCTTCCTAGCATCTTCCTTTGCTCACCGCAAGCAGGCTACTACATCCACTCGTGCAACAAGATGCGATACAAAGCTACTTTCACTCCGACCTATATACTGGGTATGCCAACATGATTTTATGCTTATATATACACTGACAACTCGTTAGACCCGGAAAGCTTTGAATGGAATCTTTTCGATGACAAGTACCGCCAGGAGTTGGACAAAAGAAAATACTTCTCTCCGTCTCATGATCGATCACATGGAGTGGATGCCGCAGAGAGTATCACACAACAGGCAGTAGCGACAGCAAGCTCGGATCGCAGCACTGCTCCTAAAACCACAAAGGAGAGAGGAAGAATGTTTGACGATGAACACGACCTAGAATTCGATGAAGCGCCGAGCGATGAAGAAGACGCAGAAATACCCGAGGGATCCTTGTTTGATTACGAGATACCCGGCGTGCTGACGAAAGATGAGGTGAACCGTCTTGATCTCGACCACTGGCGTCTCCTTGTAGGGAATACGTTGATTGAGTTAGAGGTACAAGGTTTCCAGTCCACAACTCCACTTGAGCATGCTATTAACCATGTTCTAGGATCTTCGAGACTGGGAAGATTGGAAAATAGACGACCCCGATACCGTGAAAGGCATGGCTGCAGAACTCGCTGCGGTTGCGGGACCAAAGCTACTTCAAAACAGTGCACTGGCGATATTCTGAGCCAAGCAGGACCAATTGCAGCGTCACACTAATGACGCATGAGGCAGTCAGGCCACTTTGAGAATCTATCTTATACAAAGCCGGCTCTCAGCCGAGTAGAGTTCGAGAAGATACCCACATCTTCCAACATCTCCGACTTGAGCACCTCAAACCTCGTTCGGTACATACTTGGATCGAAGACCATTCACAACGTCTACACTGACTTGAAATAATGGCTGCGAACATCCATAACGGGGCTTTCACCAGATTGCACTCATACGAAAGAGTCCGACCCGTGGGCTACCAGTGCGCCAAAGACAAAGGAACAGCTGCACCGAAGGTATGGCCACTGGCCCCTTTATTTTACACTTCCACTATTGAGATGACAACACGGCTGAGAAGGCTCCCCTCAGAATGCAAGCTGAACTAGTCTTCTCACAGGGCTCGGCACCCAGTACGAACACCACCACAATGGCTTCGAAGAATACTCAGGGTGTCACTTTTGAGAATACCCAAGTCCTCAGCTCGGACCAAACAGCATGAGACAAACATAAAGGATTGTGATCATTCACGGCCTCACAGGTCCTGCTGAATTTCCTTTCCATAGACGCTGGCTGGGAACAAACCCTTCAGACATTGCGGATGTCGCACCCTCGCCTGGAGAGTTGACCATTTCATTGATGAATCATGCCTGTTTGTGAGAGAGTCCTCCAAGCTTAGAGCAAGACAATGCTCGGAACGAAATTTGCTCGTCTGTCAACCTGATCATTCGTTTCTCATCATCATCACCACTTCTTCAGAACTTCCTCTATAATCACCCGGAACACCTACTCATGAGATATAGGTCACGTGTGGTCTCTGGGAATCTCTGACACATACCCTTCTCTCTGTTTTGCCCTACCTAATTCCCCATGGGTGGTGTCCGTGTCCACCCCATTTGTGGTTGCCTTCCAAACGACCTCGGTGAAGAGCAAACAGGCCGTTCACATGAGTGACTACTTAAAAGGGTATTCCCCTTCAGCGACAGAGGCATGGGGAAACGGAAAAGGGAAGCTCCTCCAGGCAGTGTTGTGATGCCTGTATTTCCTTTATGAAAGGGTCCCAACTGTTTCTGGTATATTCGATTTCTTCCAACCAAATCTACGGTGTCCAAAAACAAGACCAAAGAACTTGGCATCATGAAAGCTCTTCTTTCATCTTTGACCCTTCTGGTCTTGTGTTTTCCAGCCATCGGTCTCACTAATATAACAAGTCCAATACATACGACTCAACCACGCCACCCAATTTCGACATCAAATCAGCTGACAGTACTGAACCATCCTCCACCCACGAGAGGCGACCAGTTCACCTACCCTTCAATATTAGCAAAGCGCGGGGGTGTCTGGCAGGGTAGGATGACCTTCTGTGACGATGTGGGTAACTGCTGTCCTTCTGGTACTTATCGTACCGTGGACATACTACAGTCTGGAGCCTGTTGCGCCTATGGCGCATCCTGTACTGGGCTATCCAACCCCATTACGGGACTCGCCACAGGTAACTGGCGTTTTTCTGGTGCTGCAAGTACGGTCCAACCGCGAAGAGCTTTCGCCGTCCTCGCACGGTCGATATTATTCAGCTCAACCTGTCCTGCGGACAAGGGCCCCCCTATCAGTGGAGCCGCACCTGGTGAAATGTGTCTCGGAGAAGAGAACAAAGGGATGTGTCAATATTTCCGGCCACATCCTCTAGAACTTCCGGTGCTGACGTGGAGGACAAGAAAGGAGGCGGCAGCGTACGTGTTGGAAGAGGATTGCCAGGGTCGGGAATAGTTGGGATCCAACCAGCGGCAGGGAACAAAGGCGCCACGGGCGGCGCAGGAAAAGCCTCCGTTGAACCTCCGCTTATGAAAGTCTTCGGTGTTCCATTCGTCCTTGTGCGACACGTCAAGGTAGCCATTCTTCCAATCGTGAACACGACTTCGGAGGCAGTGGGCAAGCTCAAGCTCATGGGAGCCAATGAGGCCATGGTGATGGCGCAAACCGGAACAACCAGTGCCGCAAACAGGCTTCGACCTCTGCGGCTCTTCACCCTCGCGTCGGCTCTTACACAGCAGATCGGAGCTGGTGCTCTTCTGGCTAAAAACGAGACTGCACACTCCGCGGCAGAGGCCACATTCATGGGTGGCAACATTTATTACCTCGACAACGCAAACCGCACGAGCAACGCAGCTAGCGGAGCGAGTGCCACGAATCTTCAGCATTGCGTTTGCTTTGGCACGCCATGCCAAAGCTACCGTGCTAGCACATCGAAATGGTGTGCCCTGATCTCACGCAAAATGCCACCGCCTACTGTTTTTGATGTTAAAGCATGTCTTTAGCACCAATGCCGCATTGGATGCTCGAGGTTCGGTCCCTGACAGTGCTTCCTTAGATGTCTGACTCGGCGTCCGTACCTAAATAGCATCTGAATGGGGATAGAAATGGAGCTTCGTCTGGTGGCTGGACATGAATGTGCACGGTGTGCAGCAGTATTTCCCGCGTAGCACTTTATTTCAGTTCTTCTTCTCGTCTATTCTCAGGCAGCATCATCATTTGGTTCAACATGGCGAGTTTCAAGACTAAACCAAGTCCCATAAAGGCATGTTTGCCGATATTTGTAAAAGCGGCAGGGGTAAAAATTCCCGACGTCCAACGGAAACGGCTTTCACTCGGAGCTTCTCCCCGGTCGTGTGCTTTTTCTAAAATTTGGCAATACATCCACGGCGACAACTTTTTCCTGTACGCAAGCAGCTTCTCCGCCATCGCCCTTTCAGCAGCCTTTGTTTCTGCGGTCCTCTCAAAACCTGTCATTCCTCCGTGCACATGATGCTTCGAAAACAATTGCTTCGCCAGGTGCGCACCGTCTCGGAGTCGCTATCAGTGTCACCGCAAATACGACGGTCGCCATTTTCCTCCGCAACCTTCGTTCCTCGTACGTCTAGACCGGCCTACCTTTCATCGCGGGTAGGGCAAAGATGGCAGTCCACAGAGGCAGAGCAGCAGAAACCTGCCGCGGAGACGGCCCCTTCGTCAGAACAAGGGAAAGCTGCGGAGGAGGCAAAACAAGACCCTCTTAAGGAAGAGCTTGAGAAGGCTAAGAAGGAGGTTATAGACCTTAAGGTAATCCCCTTTTTGTCTCTTTTTGTTCTCGACATATTTTCTACTTGATGCACTGGGGACTAATGCTCTTGAATTCCAGGACAAATACCTCCGTTCCGTGGCCGATTACCGTAACCTGCAAGAGCGGACACGACGAGATATGGAATCCGCGCGCCAATTTGCCATTCAACGCTTCGCAACCGACCTGCTCGACTCAATAGACAATCTCGACCGTGCCATGTCATCAGTACCTCAAGCCGCCCTCGGGATCACTTCGGGTATGACAACAACATCCAACACTTCGTCCTCGGACCCCAACGTCGCCGCCTCCGCCGAGTCATCGACCTCAGAACCCAATAAGGACCTTGTCAACCTGTTCTCAGGCCTGAAGATGACGGAGGACATCCTCATGTCGACGCTGAAAAAGCACGGTCTGGAGCGCTTCGACCCCCTGGAAGGAGGAGGGCGCAAATTCGACCCCAACACCGACGAGGCGACTTTCTTCACCAAGGTGGAGGGGAAAGAGGACGGAGACGTCTTTTACACCCAGAGCAAAGGATATAAATTGAACGGACGAGTCGTGAGGGCCGCCAAAGTCGGAGTCGTCAAGAACTCCTAGTTTAGTTCCCCCCCGACTATGGATGATATCTGGGACATCAAACAAACTGGGGGCGTTTGTTTTATCCTCTTGTATAAAAAGTTTTATCGGCCTCATTTCCATCTCATCCCTTTACGCCAATCGGCCGGCGCTGAAAAGGTGGTACAAAGACGAAGAAGGGCTTTTGCAGAATCGGACGGTAGGGCGGGCTCTCTTCTTAGAAAAGTGACGGGATGGACCTAGGGAGAGCGTATCGTATCGCATGGTAATGTGTACGTTTGGCGGCTAACATGTTCCGCCCTGGAAATTAATGTGGGAAAGCAAGCACCGGAATGGCATCGCACAGATGGATGAGTCGGGAGCTGGGTTGGTATGTATTATCAAGCCACGATCGGTATTGGAGATGATCACAACGATCCCGCATGAGATGTCGCTGCTACAGCTTCAATGCACCCTGATATTTTCCGAGCGCTTCTTCCTTGTACAGCATACCCTCTTCTCTTACATATTGGATTCACTAGCGCCGCAATGCACATTTGTATATTCATTTTCGCTGACGAAGGTGAGTGGGCCTGAATGCATGGAAATATATATAGCAATACAATATATGATACATCTTCTGCGAGTATATGCGTCTGCTTCTTTCCCGGAACGGCTGGGCAAAGTCGGAGCAACAATCATATATTCACACTCGGCAGCCTCAGAAGTAGAAAAAAGCCTCGATTGAATAATCAGAGCCTAAATTGCCGCCCGAAACCCGTTACCTGTTTCAAAGGTATCAAGTCAGCGCCTGTTCCATCGCCTCGAGAACAAGATCAAACCTGGAGTCTGCAATCCATTTCAGAAGAGGCAGTGCACAATATAATCAAGTCGGTTGATCATATGGGGTTGAAACAATTATGATTTAGGCAGTTCATCATTGGATCATAAAAGACGTTGGGTAGGAGACATGGATGAGGACGAACATACCTGTCGGGAGAAGCTGTCCGCCACTTGGTGGACCATTTCGACCCGGTGAGCTGTTTCAGCTCAACCACGGTTATGGTTGAATCGCTGGAAAAGGACAAGGTGTGCGAAGGATCGAAAACGTCTCAACGCAGTTCAACGCCAAACAGGCCTTTCATCCTCCTTCCGACTTCCTCGTGCAAACCATTGACTTCTTCATTCGTCAATGTCCTCTCCAGACTCCGATAATTGATCCTATAACAGAGACTCTTCCTCCCTGTCGTGGGATGGACGAATTCATCCACCAGTTTCACATCTTCAACCAGACTGCCTGCTACGTCCCGTACCACTTCCATGATGTCATTCTCGTGGAATGCGGCGGGCTGGGTTTCTGTCGGGGACGCCTTTGTGGCATCTCCGCCTGCTGCAGCTGCAACGCCTGAAGGAGAGTGTGCTAATTGTGAACCAAGGGGAGACGATGCTGAAGGAACCGGCTTGATCCAGAAGGCAATATCCTTGTAACAGGCAGGATATTTACTAAAGGGTTCAAACTTGGTGATCTTTCCACGGGTGAACTGTTTCAAAAACCTGGGATCGGTGGACCAGAATAGACGGATGTCGGGGATACCAAAAAGGAGCATGGCGAATCGTTCAATACCTACACCCCAGGCCCAGCCGATATGGTCATGCAAACCGGCTTTGGTCAAGATAGCTTGCTTGACGACGCCGCACCCCAGAAGCTCCAACCATTCCCCTCCATGCCAAAGGACTTCGAATTCAAAAGATGGCGATGTGAAAGGGAAGTAAGCTTCGATCCAGCGGGCTTGCATCGGTGCGTCCGTTCTGGCAGCGGAGGGGAGTGATTGCCGAGAGGCCTCGAAGATGCGGCTGACGAGGTACTCGAGGCTGAGTTTGAGATGCCTGGCAACTTGGCGCACTTCATCCGCATCGTGTTCGGGCTGTAAAGGGTTCGCATTTCCAGTGAAATCGGTGGCTTGGTCCTCCACGATGATACCAGTCTTGGGCATCTCTTCGCAATTCCGTTTGATCTGAGCGGCTCTGTTTTGTTGAGCTTCCCAGGTCCGGGCTCCTTCCATTTGATGGAAGACCGGAAAATGGCTCCTGTCAATACTGTCTCGGCGGTAGACGTCGGCACAGATGGTGTAGCCTTTACTCGAAGGGTTGTTGGCTAGCCACTGAAAAGCCGCATGTTGATGAGCGGAAGTGTGTGTGCGCAAGAGGTACGTCGAATTGACATAGTATGTATCTGTTCTTGAGCGACCGGGATGGTCTGCAGGAAAGCCCAGGACATCGAAATTGTCCCTGACCGTGACCACTGGATTACCCACGGCAAAGTGTTTGAACGTCGATTCTTCGAAACATGACTCGATGAGCTTTCGAGTGATGCAGATGGGATGGTCCGGGTGATCATAGAGATTACGCCCAACGAGATCTAGGATGGAGCTGGAGAGATTTGAGGTCTGATCGAAGATATAAGGTGACCCCAGTATCTTTGCACCAGACAGCCCATTTTCGTGGATGATTTTGTTCCCCTGGTCCAACTCTTGTAGCTTTCTCTCCAGGCTGGCATGATGTCCACTTTGGCCTGATGCTGCAGCAGTCTTTGCTGGGTCGACCTCGTTGACAACTTTGACAGACTGTTCAGGGAAGGGCTGGGCGTCGGGCGCAGCTTGGGCTTGGGCCTGAGAGGATGTCCATCTTGATGGGACCAAGACCGGGGACGAAGTAGGAGCTATTGTGCAGCTAGGGACGGAGAATTTGGCAGCTTGGGCTGCACGCACAAACGCCCCAGTTTTGAGAAGCCGCATCGGAGAGGCTGAAGCAGCTTCAGCCGGTCCTTGAGAGGAGTGTAGTTTATGAAGCTTGAGGAAAGCGTGGAGGAACACGGCGCGAAGCTCCGAAGTCAGTTTGTTATGAGCAGGGTTGAGCTCTGTCCTGCTGTGGCCAGGCTCTGTGGAAGCTTTTCTGGCAGTGGCAGCCGCTTCGCCGCGTCTCGGGACCGATATCGCTTTCTCCTGCCGGAGTTTCTCGAAAATCCGCGTGTGTCTCGGAACGAGGCCTCTTCCGTCATCCTCAGTTATCCCCGACTCTCCTGAAGATTGTTCGTACCGGCCAGCGCAGTTTTTTCTCCTCAGGGATTATTTCCATTTAACTCATGTACCAGTAGCCCTGCGCTCCTGCTAGCATTAGTTGCCGTTCGTTCTTCCTCTCCCCACCCCCGTCCTCTCTTTTTTTGGTTTTACCTTCCTTTGATTTTTGTTTCCTGATGAACACGACCACTACCTTTGGGAATGGAGCCATGGCCGAAGCCGCTCCAACCGTTGTCGCAACCCCCAAGCACGATGTCGAGCCCGCGCCAAAGCAGCGGAAGACAGCTACTGCGATACATTATCCCTTTTGGTTCGGTGGAAGTGCAGCCTCAATGGCTGCGGTAGTCACTCATCCTTTAGACTTGGGTAACTACACTCGAGAGCAATCACTCCCAAACTTTCCCTGACAATCCCGTACAGTCAAGGTCCGCTTGCAAACCCGCACTCCCTCTGCGCCGAAAACCACCCTCGGCACCTTCGCGTATGTTTTCCGCAATCAAGGTCTATTAGGTCTTTACGCGGGCCTCTCGGCCGCTCTCCTGCGCCAAATGACTTACTCGACCGTGCGCTTTGGCGTATACGAAGACCTAAAGTCACGCTTCGCGGTGCAACCGACGGCCTCAAATCCCAAGCCACAACAACCTATGTTGAATCTTATTCTCATGTCCTCTGCTGCAGGACTCTTGGGCGGAATAGCCGGCAACCCTGGAGACGTACTCAACGTGCGTATGCAATCCGACGCCTCCAAACCTCCCCACCTTCAACGAAACTACAAACATGCACCCGATGGCCTAATACGAATGATTCGCGAAGAAGGTGCATCTTCTATATTTCGCGGCGTGACCGCAAATTCTACCAGAGCATTGCTCATGAATGCCTCGCAGCTGGCCAGCTACGACGTGTTCAAATCCGCCTGTCTTCACACTTTGGGAATGGCCGACACTCTCGGCACCCACTTCTGCGCCTCGCTAGCGGCGGGATTTGTTGCAACCACGATTTGTTCCCCAGTCGATGTAATCAAAACCCGCATAATGTCCGCAGGGGGGAAGAAGTCGATATTAGAAATTTTGGCGCAGGCCAGGAAGAAGGAAGGGCTCCTGTGGATGCTCCGCGGCTGGGTTCCCAGCTTCATGCGCCTGGGGCCGCAGACTATATGTACTATGGTTTTCTTCGAACAGCACAAGAAATGGTATAGGCGGTTAAAGGGAATTGAAGAGTGAGAGGAGGAGAAGAGAAAGAGGGGAACGGCTAAGACGTCTATGCATTGAGCACGCACCAATCTGGCCTTTTTGGTTGATATTTCTACATTTCGAATTGGTGAGATGGCATTTCCGCAAGCTTTGACGAACGTCACGTTTGTACAGCATTCGCATTGGGATGGAGTTTTGGAACAAGGTATCATTGGCGACGTCGGACAGGCATACAGCGTGCGTATCCGATGTTATTTTTCATTCCAGCAATCGCCATTACTGAGATTCAGATGCAGGGTCTGCTCGGGACATCATGAGTTGAAGCGAGCTTTTCTTGATCTCATGTACAGGGAGTCTGTGGTATTCATATGCAAAAAAAGTATATATGGGACGATAACAATCCCAATTCAACCAGGCCGTATTTTTGAGGCCTGGGGGCTCCTGCCCCGTGGCTGATATTAATTGCTTCTCCCAAGTGTCCGGCTTGCCTAGTTTGAGCCTCTTTACCTTCAAATGCCGCCTTCCCATGTCAATCCAAAAGCGCTGTGCCGGCCTTACCAGTCAGTTTCTTCCCAAATTTCCACTTTGAGCCGCGAGAGACTATTCCATCAATGCTCCATCAACTCCACAGGTGGCCGTGCCGTACTTGCCAATATCTTCTTAGTCGGCCCCTCCGGCTCGAGCTCCACATCCGAATCATCCTCGGCCTCCAACATAACCGCCGGAAGTGCCGGACTGTCTCCGTGGGCCTTGGGGTCGTAGATCAAAGTCGAGCTTCGACTCCGATGTTTCTTTGGCGAGGCGTCTGCCGTGGTGGGGGAGTTTTCTGCCGACACTTTAGAGAAGGCACGTGCTCTGCTGGCTTTCAGTCTCTGGAGCCCCTCGGCCGTGTATTGCATTTTGGCCTCGTCTTCAGACGCCGAGTCGTCAGCGTTGGTGGTGGGGGGAGAGGAGGATGTGAGCTTGCCGCTCAGTTTCTCCAGCTTGGTTGCCAGGTCCTCGGCGTGTACGTGTTTGTTTGGGGGATCCTCCTGTCTCATTTCCCAGCCCACGGGGGGACTTGGCGGAGGGCTGATGAAGAATAACCGCCCCGCGTCAGGTCGGTCGAGGTATTTCTTCTCGTCTCCTATCGGGGTGGGTTCACCAAAGTAGCATTTTGCGACAGTGTCTCCCATCACTGCGGACCCGTCAAATACCTGTCGCACTGCGATGGCGGCGTCGACATCGTAGAAGGAGCAGATGATGCGGTGCATGGACTTTAGTGGGGAGAACGAGTTCAAGGGCGCGATCTCCGTGATATGTTGTCTGATGGTCGCCAGGGATGCCGGATGGAAGATCTTGGGGTCCTCAAGGCGGGTAATGAGGAGAGTGTTGGATGGAGGTGCTGGTTGGGAAAGAGGCGGGAGGGACGAGAGATCGAGGGAGAGAGGCGATCGGGAGCGTTTGGCGGACAAGGACGGTCGAGGGGAGGAGGCGGTCGAAGTCGGAGGAGAGCTTGAGGAAGGAATCTGTGTTTGGATAGGAGAAAGAGGTTGTCGTAGGGTGTCCGCCATGGTGGTTGTGTCGGCCAGATTAATTTCTCGAGATTGAAAGGACAAGTTTCTGGTTCAATGAGGAACGCAGACTGAGGATGAGGAAGAAGTCAAGTCTGGAAGAGCAGACTCTTTGTAGTTGTACCTGGTGCTCGGACGGTTCTGGGAGGCAATTGTGATGCGCACGGCAATTTGTTGTTCAGTGAGGCGCAGTCGAGTCTCGCTCATGCATGCGTAGCAATCCAATGGTTGGCGCCTCTTGTTTTTCGAGGATTCGAGAAGATCGAGACCAGCCAAATCCCAATCTGATGAGCGGAGAGGCGGAGGCCGTGGAGGCTACACTCTTCACGGCAAGTGGGACGAGCCAAGAAGGCTGAGGACGGCCAGGCAGAGCCACCCATCGTCGCTAGGATCCCGCACCCACAGGTGACGGAAAAACAGATGTTCCGTAGGCTCAAATCTTGGCCGAGGCTGAGCCTCCTATTTGGCCTGTTGCCACCATTCGTCCGAGAGTTGCGAGGTTCCTACCAAGTACGTACCCACCCAGTCCTCCATTCCCTTGGCCATCTTCCTCCCCTTTATCTCGGTGCCTCTGCTGCGCCGTCTTATTCATAAGACGTGGTTCTCACCGAGAGTTACGTCCGCTGTGGCTTATGATGAACCTGCTCCTAACTAATCCTATCCTCTTGGCCAGCGCCTCGAGGCTCAGCTACAGATTCGTAACGTCCTTCCCGCCGAGTCTCGTTCCAGAAAGCCAAAAGGCTGCCTCGGCTCTCCAACGATGCGGAGAGTAGCGGCCAATTGTACTATGCATCTCCGCATTCTCGACTTCTACCTGTCACCAGATGTGGGAATTTCGTCAAGGCTGCACCACCGATTCTCGGAACCGATTGAATCGTTTCCTGTTCGTGAATGCATATATAATCGCGGCTTCCCTGACGATCCCCTGATTGTAGACGTGTTGACCAAGTTTCTCTACGCGCATCAGAAACCATTGGATCCACAGATATGGCTCCGGTGGCTACTACCAACGGCTATGGGGGGATGTATCTCCCCGATGACCCTGACAGGGCCGGACTTGCTCAAAGTGGACAACAGCGCCCACTGCTGAACAACCCGTCGCCCGACGATGTCGAAATCCTGGAACAACTCTACGGCACCCGGAAGAAAATGCGAATAGCCGTCCTGGGAGCTGGCATGTCTGGTTTGAACTTCTTCAAGACCGCGGAAGAGAGACTCAAGAATGTCGAGATCATCTGCTACGAAAAGAACGCTGACGTCGGCGGTACTTGGTATGAGAACCGTTATCCGGGCTGTGCATGCGATATCCCCAGCGTGGTCTACCAGTTTCCTTGGAGGCCCTCACCATGGTCCAGATACTACTCGTACTCGCCAGAAATTTGGGATTATATCAAACAGGTCGAACGGGAGAATAAGTTTGTCGAGAAGTACGTCAAGTTACGGCACCGGATCGTTTCTCTCTCCTGGGACGAGGGCACTGCTCAATGGACCGTCCGTGTGCAGGACCTTAACACGGGACGTGAATTCGAGGATCATGCCGATATGGTAATAGACGGGGGCGGCGTATTGAACAAATGGAAGTGGCCCGACATTCCTGGCCTGCACGATTTCAAGGGCACGCTTCTCCACTCAGCTCAATGGAATCAAAACACCGACCTCAAGGGCAAGCGGGTCGCGCTGATTGGCGCCGGAAGCAGTGCTGTCCAAATCCTACCAAATATCTACGACAAGGTCGAGAAGGTGTACACTTGGGTTCGGAACAAGATCTGGATCACCGCGGGTTTCGCTCAAGCGTTCGCTGGCAAAGACGGCGCAAATTTCATTTACAACGAAGAGCAAAGAAAACTGTTTGACGATCCCGATGAGTACCTCGCATATTGCAAGATGATCGAGGGTGAGCTCAATCAACGATTCGGCTTCATCATCAACGGTTCCGAAGCCCAAAATGCCGCGCGCGAGTACTCCGAGAACGAAATGAGAACGCTGCTCAAGGACCGCCCAGACCTACTTGAAAAGATCATGCCGACCGATTTCTTCGTCGGATGTCGTCGTCCCACTCCCGGAAACGGATACTTGGAAGCCCTCACCGGTGAAAAGACCACGGCCTATGCGTCACAAATACAAAAGATCACGGAAAAAGGATTCATCGACCCAGACGGCCAAGAACAAGAAGTAGACGTGGTCATCTGCGCCACAGGTTTCGACACATCCTACAAGCCTCGCTTCCCCCTGAGCGTCAATGGTGTTTCGAAAAACGAAGAATGGAAAGATCATCCACACGTGCCTTCGTACCTGAGTCTCGGATTGGCCGAAGTGCCCAATTACTTCATCTACGGGGGCGCCTATTGTCCCTCGGCACATGGCAGTTTCTTCCCCTTGATACAAGGATACTGCAACTACACGATCCAGGTGATTGAGAAGATGCAGGTAGAGAATATCAGGAGCGTGAGGCCGAAGTCGAAGGTGGTGAACCAGTTCTTGAGGCACGCGGATTCGTTTCTAAAGCGGACCGCATGGACGGGTGAGTCCATCCCCCTCTTTCTTGAAAGGAGCACACAGTGGCATGGCTGCCAGAAAAAACAAAAACAAAAACAAAAGGTGTCACAACGACGCGGAGAGTGCTGACTTTCTTTTTGTGCCTTTGCTTCCTTCTAGGTCCTTGCTCAAGCTGGTTCAAAGGCGGCAAAATCGACGGCAAGCCCGCCATCTATCCGGGGTCGCGGTTACATTTTCTGCGCTTGCTCGAGAAGCCGCGCTTCGAGGACTACGATATCGACTACGACAACCAGGATGACATGTTTGCCTTCTTCGGCAACGGATTCCACGTCTGCGAGAGGGACGGCAGCGACATCACCTGGTACATGGGCCAACCGAAGAGGGAGGTGGATGTGGACAAGATCAAACAGGTCATGGATGGGACTAAGGGAATTGAGATGAAGAGGCCGTCGGCGTCGTCGAACTGAGTGAGTGAGGATAGACCGTCTATCCGTTTTTTATGTCGGACGGTGCCTCGGTAGACGCGGACAATAGGATATACCAAGCCCGCAAGATATACCTACATAGACCGTACACGTGATTCAGGACTCGATTATCAGAAGTATAGAGCCGGCGGTGCCGGCAAGACCGGCTACGTCACAGCTCGGATATGATTAAATGCAAAGGGAGCATAGATGAGTTCCTATTGGCGCCACTGTAACTACAACTGATGACGAACCGCTATGATGAGTTTTTGTCGTCATGACATCAGGACTCCTGTCTCTCTTCCCTTGCTTTCGGGGAATGGTCACTCCACGCTGACAATTTAGGCACACGGGCATGAAGCCTCCATAGAAACAAGGTGAACTGGTAGGAGTTCCGTGCGTTGCCATAGGATCTGTAGCCTGGCTGGGTTCTGACTACTTCTCCCGGGGAGGGGTGGGGTGATAAAAGCAGCCACCATCATCATTGCAGGCTATTCTCTTTCTCCCCCGGTAGCTCTCGTATTCTGTTCCATGTCTCTCCCATCGCAACTCCTTTTCAGATCGGGGACATCTTGCTGTCTACGTTTGGAATCCTGTCGTCTTGGATCAAGGGGATATTACCACGAAGTTGCTGCTCGCCCGCTTTTCACTGCGTCCGCCACAACAGTTAGAACGAGATTCTCAGCCGCGGCGGTTCGACCGTACACAGCCACAAGGATGAAGTTCAAGGCGCCCTCGATGGATCCGCCGAAGCATGACATGGCGTATTTTCCCGACATGACGACGTCGCTGCCCAGCGAGTCGGCCGAGTTTCGTCGAGTCTTGTGGACGGGCCTGTACAGCCAATTGGTCCTGATGACCGTGCCGGTGGATGGTGAAATCGGAGACGAGGTACGGTCTGCCTGGGTCGCTATCTAGCAAAATTTTGTCTTGGATTGCATTGAAAGTATCGGTGTCTTTGCTAATGTTCCCCCTCTTTTCTTCTTTGCAGAAACATACCGTCGATCAGATCCTGACCTTCACGTCCGGCAAGGGCAAGGCTACCATCAACGGCGTAGACCAGGATGTGAAAGCTGGAGATCTCATCATCGTGCCTGCGGGCACACAGCACCAGTTCATCAACACCGGGCCGACGCCGTTGATTTTGTATACCGTATACTCCCCTGCGGAGCACAAACCAACCACTGTGCATAAGGACAAGGCACAGGGAGATCGCGAGGAGGAAGAGGGTGTCGATGAGCCGCCGGGGTGGAGCCAGAGGAGTAAAAAGGAGAATGAGAAGCTGGGGCTAGTCGATCCAGAGGGGCACTGAGGTTGTGGGTAATTGCGATGCCACCGTCGAACATGTGCTGTTTGACGATGTGTCCTTCAGAGCTCTGACCCTGGAAGTAGCCTACCAGAGAGTCAAGCGAGTGTGGCAAGCTCGCCCAAATAAAGTCATCTCTTCTTCTTGCTCACAACTTTTGTAAAGCCATCCTCGTCAACCTCTGGCTCGGGCTTCTGCTTTGGTTTCCAGTCAATGTCAATGATTGAAGGAGCGTCATCCATCTGCACGTCGGGTCGGTCAGGAAATCCGTTCCACTCTTCCTCCTCTTCACTGCCTTCGTCGTCGTCATCCCAGTCGGTGTCTTCAGCCTCCTTGTCCTCCCCTCTGACAATGCCGACGACCTTGTCACCTCCATTTTTCTGCTTCTCTTGCCATTTCGCATAGAGCTCGTTCAATTCAGAAACGTCTCCGCCACCCAATTTAGTCGCTCCACTCCAGATCTTCTGGGCAGTCTCTTCGGCACTACCATCGTCGACCACGACCTCAAATTCATCAAGCATGACTTGTATTAACACTTCTTCCAGGTCGCTAACATCTGCCAGCTGTGGAGGGCTCGAGGTGAGCAGTTCGGACACAGCGCCGGCGAACCAGTCCCTCTTGTCATTCGAGACCTGTGCAGAGCCGCCCCAGGAGTTTTGGATCGCAAGCGTCAAGGCCGGCCAGGACCACAGGTGGAGCGCCACTAAAAGATCAATCTGGGAGGATAGAGGGGAGGACGGTGTCGGTGGGACCGGAAGCGAGCCGGATTGGGTAGATTGAGCCATTGCACATTGGAGTACTAGGAGAGGTAGAGTCGGATACGGTGCTGTCCTGAATACTTGCAGATGAACCACTGTAGAGAAAGACTCGTCGCTCAACTAGGAAGAAATTTGAGTGGGACAAGAATTTGTCGGTTGGCGGATCGGGGAATCTCTCGCCGAACATAATAATTTGACATGGGGAAAACTGCCTTGCCAAAGTTGTTGATAATTAGACGGACAGCAACCCCAATTGAACAACCTCGTGTGGCAGCAGAAGAATATTGACAGATGAAGTGAACGGTGAAAGTGACGCTCTATAAAGGTCTGTTAAGCCTCAGGTGCCTGTTTGTTTCCTTCTCTCTGTGCCAGGCACCAACAACTAGCATCTCATTACGTCGGAAAGTGGACGAACACTTTCTTTCAGGCATATATATATATATTCAGTCGGCGCACGTTGAGGCCATCTGCAGAAGTGTCTGCACAAAACATCACAGATGGGCGAACCCAGTTCAGTGCCGGCTGCCCCCACGGCGACCGAGGACGAACGGTCTGCTCTTACCTCACGAATCATTCCAACAATGAGTCTCTCCAGAGCGGAAAATCCTCTCACAGCACCCCTGGCCCCTATACGGACAACATCACCCGCTGCGCGAGCTGCTGCTCGATTCCAGATAGAGGGCAATGCTGTCCTCACAGGAGGTGCTGGCACATTAGCTTTGGTGTCTGCCAGGTCACTACTGGAACATGGTGCTTCTGGTGTTGCGCTCATGGACTTGCAGTCCACCCTTAATACGTCCTCGCATGCTATATCGAAACTGAAGGAGGATTTCCCCAATGCGGATATCCACACGATCCCGGTCGACGTGACATCGGCATCGGAAGTGGACAAAGCCTTTCAGGTTGCCCAGGGTTTGATGGGCAGCGTCGACATGTTGTGCTGTTTCGCAGGAATAGTTGGGTGTATCCACTCCATATCGGCAACCGCTAGCCAATTCCGCAAAGTCATCGATGTCAATCTAACTGGGTCGTTTCTCTGCGCCCAAGCCGCCGCAAGACACATGATTGAATCCAAGTCCGGGGGATCCATTGTCTTCACGGCGTCCATCTCGGCTCACGCGACGAACTATCCCCAACCTCAAGCAGCGTACAATGTGAGCAAGGCGGGGGTTGCGCATCTGACACAGAATCTCGCCGCCGAGTGGGCAGTTCATGGGATCCGAGTCAACAGTATCTCTCCGGGCTACATGGACACAGTACTCAATGCCGGTGACAACCTGAAGCCAGTGCGAGACATCTGGGCCAGCCGGTGTCCCATGGGCAGAATGGGCGAAGTGGAAGAAATCACGGCACCTGTCGTGCTTCTCAGCAGTAAAAGAGCAGGCAGATACATCACAGGGGCAGATTTGCGAGTGGATGGCGGTGCATTGTGCTTTTGAATGGAGCGAGGTTGAACTCGAGAGGTGGCCGATGAGCACGCATCCGTAGAAATAGGCGGTTGTCGGGGGTCTGAACGGACCTGCCAGATGAGAATGAAGGCATTTGAGGCTCACTAGGCTCCGTGGTGGGCGTCGCAGGGGCTCTCTACTACTTGGTAGTCAGTGAGGCCACCAGTCAACCTTCCGAGCCTCCCTGTCCTCAGTACCCTGTCCAGAACCTCACAAACTAAATGCCCCGCAACCAGAACGCCAACGCTCCTCATTATTCTCGCTCCGGAAAAGCTGCCCACCTCAGCAAGTGCCTAGTTCTATCATGCATCCTATATCTTTTGGCAGGCCAGTGTCTGAATTGCGGATGTCTCATGAATAATATGAGTGCGATGGGAAACATTACGCCCGGGCGAAGAATGGCCGCGTGATGGACTCCGCCTTCGTCTAGGCAGCTAAAAGCGTTGGCCATGCCCACCCAATGCCCTTGCCGCCAACACGATTTGTGGCTCGCAGCTTCAGCACGGATGGTCGACATCGCAGGAGTCAAGTGGCCGAGTGGCCCAGCCTGCAACCACTGTCGGTGGCGGCGCTGAGCTCGCTGCTAGCCTTACAACTTTTCTCGCTCCTACTACTTTCACGGACTTCTCTTCTAACCTCATCGAAAGGGCTGCTGTTCATCGTTAGTCCGATTGCTGGCGAGCGTTGTCGACCCAACAAACCCCTTCCTAGGCCTGAAGCAATCCAACTGCAAGCCTTACCTGCCGTTCGACAGTCGCCATTCTGACCCTAAAATTTACCCCCTATCAAGGTGATTTTCTCTATTATGTGGCACAGGACTCCCAACAACGGACTTATGCCTGGGACCATTGGGTCATCCGCCCACAACGTCGTATAGCTGGAACCGATCTTTACATGGATTTGCAGCGCGATGGCGTGTTCTGATGATTTGACCTTGAAGGTTCTCGACGAACCTGCCATGTTAGGTCTTTCGCTCCTCGTTGCGCCTGAACGCCCATCGATCGAGTAAGTCATTCTCTGCAGCACGCGCATTCGACCGGTGATAATGGCCCTAATCTCGACGCTAGCATCGTTTTTATCCATGGCTTTAATGGACACCCAGAGCGAACCTGGAGGCACAAGGGCGATGCCGGCAATCCGAGAGATCTGGGTGAAGATCGAGGCGACGAGCGACCTCGAAAATTCCAAAAGATACTTGACTCTACGAAGATCTCCCGCGACCGCAAGTCCGTCTATTGGCCTAAGGATCTGTTACCACATACTGCTCCTCACGCACGAATACTGGCATATGGCTACGACACTCGCTTCGGACATCGAGTCAGTCCTCCGAGGAGTCAGAAGTCGGTCTATGATTTTGCCAAGGACTTCTTGATGGAGTTGGAAGCCGTACGTCGGTGTCAGCCTACCAGACCCCTCTTGTTCATTGCCCACAGTCTTGGAGGAGTCGTTGTCAAGGAGATGCTTCGACAGTCATACGGCTACCTCAACCATCATCCTCATCTTCGAACCATATCCGAGTCAACTCTGGGTATCGTCTTCTTCGGAACTCCACACGGCGGTGCTGATCCGCGAGGGCTTTTAAGGTCCATTGCGGAAAATGTCGCTCGAGCGTTGGGTTTCACGGCGAACGAAACTGTCCTGGAGAGCTTGCTCCCTTGTTCGGAACGTCTGAAGCAACTACGGGACGAGTTTGGTCCAATGGCCCGCGCAGAGGGGTGGAAGATACACTGCTTTCAAGAAGATCACGGTATCAAAGCTCTCAATGGTAGGAAGGTAGGCATGGCTTTCATTGTGAGGAGGCTGCAGAGCTTGCTGATCTTTGTAGGTTGTTGAAGATGCATCTTCTTGCTTGTCTGATTCGAGTCTGGAAATCACCGAGCATATTGCAAACGATCACATGGATATGTGTCGCTTTAGCGGACTCCACGACGCCGAATATAGGAAAGTCGCCGCCGCAATCAGTCGAATTCTTGAAAATTCCAGCGACCGCCCTTCCCCCGCTAGTCAGACAACACTCAGTATCGGACAACGGCAAGCCTACATCAAATCTCTCGGCTTCGATCAGATTGATGCTCGTCACGCGACAATCAAGACAGCCCACGCAAAAACCTGCAGATGGCTACTCAAAAAATCCGGGTACCGCGACTGGCTCGCTCTCAAAAGACTCTCCGAGCACAATGGATTTCTGTGGATCAAGGGAAAAGCCGGCACCGGCAAATCTACAATCATGAAGTATATCTTTGCGAACGCCAAAAAGACAATGTCGGAAGCCACAGTTATTTCATTCTTTTTCAACGCCAGAGGGGGAGACCTGGAGAAGTCTACTGAAGGTATGTATCGGTCGTTACTTCTACAACTACTGGAGAGCCGTCCCGAGCTTGGAAAGATTCTCGATCCTCTTTCCCGGCCGTTACTGTCTGAAACCGGTGAATTCGAGATCCAATGGCAGCTTGAGACCCTGAAAGACGCCTTTCAAGCCGCCATCAGATGTATTGGAACCAAAAGCCTGGTCTGCTTTGTCGATGCGTTAGACGAGTGCCATGAAGATGACATCCGAGACATGGTGGCATTCTTCGAGACTCTCAGCCAAGAAGCAGTGCAATCAGGAACCCAGCTCCATATCTGTTTCTCGAGTCGCCATTACCCCTATGTCACCGTGGATAAGTGCGTTGAACTCGTGTTGGAGGACCAGGAGGGCCACCAAGATGACTTGGAGCACTACGTCCGCACCGAACTGAAAATCGGCGAGAGTCCGCGCAGCGAAAAGATCAAAAAGAACGTCCTTCAGAGGGCTAATGGCATCTTTCTATGGGTCGTCCTGGTCGTCCGAATCCTGCAGAAAGAAGTTGACAGAGGACGGATACATACACTTGAGAAACGGCTTTGGGAAATTCCAGACGGCCTCGATAAGTTGTTCGAAGATATCTTGACAAGAGACGGGAGGAATAGCGACGATCTTCTGCTCTGTCTACAATGGATCCTATTCGCCAAGCGACCGTTGAGACGTGAAGAACTATATTTCGCGATCTTGGCCGGAAACGATCCTGACCAACTCACGCCCTGGGATCCTACCGAAACAACGACAGATGTCATGGACCGATTCATTCTGGATTGTTCCAAAGGCCTCGCGGAGCTGACAAAGACGAAGAACCAGACAGTGCAATTCATCCACGAATCAGTTCGGGATTATCTTCTTAAAGGGGACGGACTCATGCACCTTCGACAGCCTCTTCAGTCGGATTTTGAAGGGCAGAGCCATGAAAAACTGAAGTTGTGTTGTCAAAACTACTTAAAGCTTCGACACCCAAGTCATGGGCATTTGCGAAGACAAGATAGGGCTGACTCTAGACTGAAGGATGATGGAATGTCTGACAATGAAACTCGGCTAGCCACTCCCTTTAACGACGACCACCCTGAGCCGCGAGCTGCTCCTTCAACTTCTTCTCCTCCTTCTATGGAGGCTAGGAGCCTGCGCGAGGACCTGTGCGCGCAATATCCATTCTTAAGCTACGCGGTGAACCACATCTTCGATCACGCAGAGGCGGCAGCCGAAAAGAAGGTCTCGCAAACAACCTTCACCATGGAATTCGACTTCGTAACTTGGACGCGTTGCAACAACATTCTTGAGAAGTACCACATCCGACAATATACCCCCTCCGTGAGCCCACTATATATTTTTGCCGAGAAGAATTTACCCCGACTCATTCGCATTCAGCTTCAACAAGTGCCTTCTATGGACATCAGAGGTGAGCGACACCAATTTCCTCTGCGGGCTGCCATAGCAGCAAGAAATAAGGAAGCAGTCGAGGAGTTTCTGAAGTCAGCTATTGAAATTAGGAGTGCTGCGCAACCCAATCTTGATTCGATTCACACCCAAACAAACAGTAGAAGACTCGATTGTGCAGAGTTCTTGGTGCAGAATTCAAAGGTTTTCAATCTTGGGGAAGAGTCAATACTCTTCTGGGCTGTCGCAAAAGGCAGGATGGACCTCGTCGAAACGTTGCTAGCGACGGAAAAGGTCCAGTTGGACTGCCAGACAAAGATCAAAAACGGATGCCGGCTAGAGATCTCTCTGGGTACCAGTGCGTTCCACCTGACCTCAATAAGAGTATCGCTGTATACCAATCAGCGCGAGCCTCTTGATTCGACCCAAGTTGCATTGGCCTCACGTCTGCTCCAAGTCCATGTGATACCCTGGGCATTTGAGCATGGATATGGACTTTTGATCAGACATTTGATCTGGCATCTGATTTGCACGACCGGAAGGTCCACGGAGGTGAATCCCCTGTGCCACGACGCCGATTTGATCGCTCTAATCTCTCAGCACACCTGGGTCAATTTAAATTTCAGGGATGCCCGTTTTCGGTCGCTATTATCATATGCCGCAGGATACGGACTCTCAGGCCTCGTGAAGCACATGATTGAGCATAGAATCAACCGGTTGGATGACAAAGATGACGCCGGGTGCACTCCTCTTTACTATGCCGTGATGAATTGCCAAGTAGACACAGTACAGATGCTTCTCCAAACAACAAACATGGCTGATCTCGGCCCGCCTGGTGTTGATCTGAATTTGTCACCAGAGCATAAGGAGGTGATTGAGTTAATGCTGGAACATGGGGTCAACCATCACGGTGTCACCGTTGACTATCATCGCCCTCTTAACTGGGCATGTTTATACGGGCACGAATCAATGGTGAAATTGCTGCTAGGGCGTGGGGATGTCCGGGTCAATGCAACGAACGACGATGGCGACACCCCATTACACGCCGCAGTGACCAAAGGGCGCGAAGCAATAGTAAAATTACTCCTGGAGCATGGGGATATCGACGTGAACGCAACAAATAAGTTTGGCGAGACCCCATTAGTCTCCGCGCTCATCGGGCGGAGAGAAGCGGTTGCTCGCCTTCTGCTCGAACGATCTGATATCAAAGTCGACCCAGTCGGTACGGGCTCCACACCCATAAATGAATATGCAAGAATGTTAGGCAATACGGAAGTGGCCCAGATGTTGGAGGAGAAGATGTGTCAACAGCAGGGTGGGTCGGGCTTTGATCAGGGCGGTGTTCCAAGCGGACGGGGATGATCAAGGAAAGGTTGGAGACTGTACCGAATTCCAAAGCCGATGGCGAGTACGACGATACGCAACGCTGGGAGGGTATCATTCTCGACCGACTGAGTCGATTTTCTGGACGCTATATTCGTGTCGCTGATAATGTGTATTTTGTGTGGGTGGTCACTGCCAGCCTCGCCATCGCAAAGCTGCCACGATGCTCCACGTCTCGTCTGATGGGCACGGAGATACTCCACGAAATATCCTATGACAGTCATCTCATGTGGATCCAAGGGGGCTGTCCACCAGAACGCCAGGGTATGTCAGCTTACGGGTGACTTGGGTCTCGGTCCACATATCGAACAGTATCGACCCGGCCAGGAGAATGTTCCATCGACAAAGCTCGAGCAATATCCACGATCGAACCGAGATGTCGTTCTATAGCATGGTCGATAGTCCTTATTTCATCGTTTCGTTGGAAAAAGGGGGCTAACTCTGCTCGGCGCCAGTAAATTTTCTCGATCTCTTGCCGTCTACATTTGCGACTTGGACTTGATCGAGCGGGACGACGGTTTCATCCTCGGAGCCCTCCACATCCAGAGGTTCACAACCTCTGCCCTAGCAACATTGATCAAAGAGCCTCCCAGAACGACAGGCGAGGATGACCGCCTCAGGCCCAACGAGGCCTCCTCGCACAGCGCTGATCGGCCTCTCGTCCTCTCCGACCGGCCACGGCTGGCTCAGTCACTTCCACCTTCCCGCGATCCAGAAGCACACTGCTGACTTCCAGATCGTCGCAGTCCTCAGCTCGTCGCTCGCGAACGCTCAAAAGGCTATCGCGAAGCACAACCTCCCATCCACGGTCCGCGCGTACGGCGCGCCTGAAGACCTGGCTAGGGACGAAGAGGTTGATTTCCTGGTCGTCGGTGTCAAAGCGCCCCTCCACAGGACCGTGCTCATGCCATCTCTCCTGTCCAAGAGATTGAAGGGCATCTTTGTCGAATGGCCTATCGATTGCTCATTTGCCAAGACCGAAGAAATCGTGCGTCTTGCGCGGGAGCAGGGTCTTCGCACGGCGGTGGGTTTGCAGGGGCGCTTCTCGACGATCACCCAGCGAATATCTCAGCTCGTGCGCAGCGGTCAATTGGGCAAAATTCTCAGCACAACGGCAGTCGGCACGGTGCCCACGGGAGACGGGAAATCCGAGAAACGCAGCTCCCAATACGCCCTGGATCCGGCCAATGGGGCGACAATGGTTGACGTGCATTTGGCGCACTTCATCGAGTGTCTGACGTTCGCACTGGACGCTGATGTCGCGACCGTCTCGGGACAAGTGAAAACGATGCATCCCACGACGAATATCGTGGACGATGACACGGGGGAGTCTGTCGAGAGGGACGCGCCAAAGAAGAGCCCCGACCAAGTCCTCGTCCAGGGGACGTTGAAATCGAGATCGAAACCGAAAACCGGACCGGGACCGGGACCGAAATCACGGCAGCCGCGTGACGGAAGAGAAGAAAACAATGACAACAACAACAACAACAACATCGTCTACAGCATCCACATGCGCGGCGGGAACAGCATCTCTGGCGGCATGACCTGGCTGATCTACGGCACGGACGGCGAGATGGAAATCACGACCCCACTTCGCATGATCCCGCACATCAACCTGCCTGTCCCGTGGAAGATTCGCATGAAAATCGAAGGCGAAGGCGAAGGTCAAGCGGGGACTATAAGTGAAGTAGTAGAAGAAGAAGTCTCGGAGCAAGAAGCGGGACAGCCCGCGGTGGATAGGCTCTGGGACGCGTTCGTACGCGGTGGGCAAGAAAGAGAAGGGGAAGGGCCGTGGGCGTGGCCGGACTTTGAACACGCGCTGAAAATCCACCACGCGATCGACGCAGTTTGGACGAGTAGTAGAGACGGGAAGGTCGTTGAGCTGTAATGTATCTCCGTAATATGAATGAGCATTCGTGTCCGGATATGGATTTGCGTATATGTACCGACTGTCTCAAGAGACCCAGGCAGGAAGGTAGGCTGGCAAGGCAGGGAATATATTCCTGATCGTTTCGTTCGCTAAATCCTACCCCATTCTTATCCTCACATCTCACTTGTGCGTGTGTACACCTAGGCATGTATGCATATGTGTATGTATACCCATATATAACATGCCTCTTTGGTTTGTAAAGGTTTTGTTTTTTTTTTAAATAAAAATAAAAAAAAGTTAGAAGGGAACTTTTTTCTTATCCCCCTCCCCGTCCTCCCAGTCTTTCTTCGTCATCCATTCCATCCAGCCCAATCCAGCCAGCTAGATTTCAAACGCGTCAAAAAACCTCAGACACAGACGCTCTAACACGGACACACTGACACACGAACATGCGTAAAATGAAGGCGGAGATGGAGACGGAGATGGAAGATGGGACAGTGAGAACAACACACATGGTAAGCGTAGGAAGGTAGCCAACAGGTAGGTAGACTGTGGCGCGTACAATTAGCATGCTGGTGAGGCGTTGTTGTCTATTCCTCGCACCGTACCGCACCGTACCGCACCGCAGCACACCTTACGGCAACGCACAGTACCGCAAGTGCACACCACGGGACGGGCGGTTGACCGGTCTCATGCCTCCGGATCATGCTTGACCTTCTCTATGTCTTCGGCCCTGATGGCATGTCGGTCTCCCTGGGCGGGAAGTTCCTGGTTGCTGCGCGAGCTAGCCGTCGTCGAGTCGCCGCCGACAACACCGTTGGCGCTGTTGGCAGCTTTCCTAATCATGTCCGAGTGTTCACCGATGCCGTAGCGGTCTTCGCTCGGGATGTTCGGGTCGATGCCGTTCTGATCCCGGTTTTGCGGTGTCCAGGCGAGATAGTCACGGCGGACCTGCGCAATGATTAGTTGGTATTCACGACCCGTGAAGATGGAGCATGGTTGGGTGGGAACGGGGGAAAACCACGACAGCGTACATACCTCGACGTAATCGTAGGCGAACTCGCCGAGTTGGTCGTCATCCATGCCGAGCAGTTCAGCCTCTTCCGAAGCGCGGAGGTGCAGGCCCGGAATGAAATTGACAATGTAGGCGAGGATGGCGCTCATGACAAAGGCGTAGCCCGTGCATGCCAGAACATAAGCCAGCTGGATGTAGAATTGGCGATAGTTGCCGATGGGCCACCCGCCGACGCCGGTGCCCGTCGTAGGGTTCGGGACGCCCGTGTTGACTCCGTCGAGACCGACGACGTAGTCGACGCCGAAAAGAGCATTGAACATCAGACCAATCATGCCAGCAACGCCGTGTTCGGCGAACACGTCCATAGAGTCGTCAATCCGGACCCAGTACTTGACTGAAAATCACACAGGTTAGTAGATGTCCACAGTGGAAACTCCGAGGGCTCTCTCTCACTCTTGGTGGCAAAGTTGCAGGCAATGCCAGTAACAATCCCCAACACGACACTCCCCCACGTTTCAAGATATCCGGATGCCGGTGTGGCAGCCACAAGTCCAGAGATGGTACCAGAACACCAGCCGACCATGGACCATTTCCGAGCCAACCTGAAATCGAGCAGGACCCAAGCCGCCGCGGCAAAAGTGGCCGTCAGATTGGAGTTCCAGCAAGCCATGACAGCTCTGAGGTTAGCTCCAAAGGCGGAGCCTCCGTTGAAACCCAGCCAGCCAAACCAGAGCAGAACCGTGCCCAGCAAGATAAACGAAACGTTGTGGGGTCGGAAGTTGAGCATCATCTTCTCCTGTCTCTTTCCCAGAACCATCGAATAAGCCAGTGCAGACATGCCAGAGCCAATCTCGACAGGCCCACCGCCAGCATAATCCATGACACCGTATTTGAATGCCCACCCGTTGGCGTTCCACGCCCAACAAGCGATCGGGTTGTACACCAGGGTGGCCCAGAGGAAGGTCCAAACAAGGAAAGGCATCAATCGACCACGCTCTGCAACAGCACCGGCAACGATGGCGGCGGTCACGGCGCAGAATTGCATCTGTGATCATGACCCCATCAAAATGGTGTAACTGGGGAAGAAGCAAGCAGACTCACCTGGTAGAAGGAGTATAGAAGGCTAGGAATGAGAGGCGAACCGGGACTCGGGTTCCCCAGAGTCCGTTTCAGCCCAAAATGGACCAAGTCTCCAATGAAGCCGCTTTGGCCGGTTGGAGAAAAGGTGAGGGAGTAGCCCCAGAAGTACCACTGAAAGTTGACGATACTGCCAGCAGCCATGCAAGCCCACATCAGTGACAAGGCCGACTTTCGTCGCGCAAGGCCCGAGTAGAGGAAGCCAAGGCCCGGCACCATGATCAACACCAGACATGATGAGATGATGATATATGCCTGGTCGCCGGATTGATACCACTTGTTCAGATTCTCCGTCCCTGCACTTGGGTTAGAGGGCCTCTTGTCCGGATGTGGTCACGAGACCTACGTGAGTCTCCTCCTGTTTGGGCATTTGTGGCTAAAGAGTAGTCCGCGGGAGCACCAGTCCAGTTGTAGGAGGCGTAGGAAGGGAGGAAGTTGGTGATGCCACTCGACGACATTGTGACGGCACCAGAGGGAGGAGGATTCTTCGACAGAAGTGAGCCTCAGAAGGGGTGTTTTCGAAGCTATCAAACCCTCGGGGGCGGCGAGTTCGAATATATACCTCGCGCAGGAAGGGGTGTTGTCGGGGACCGTATCGGAAACAATCTCCAAAGGATGGTTGGGCTAGGAGAGACGTCCCAAGACTCTTCCGGGCAGGGGAGGCAATCTTGTGGCGATGATAAGGGCAGAAGACATAAAGATATGAACAACCAAGACCGACGCGCACACGAGACAAGAGATATGACACGGGATGGGATGGGATGGACGCTGTCTTCCAAGACGGCAAGGGCCCGAATGTCTGTTTTTTTTTTTAAAGAAAGAGAAAACGACAGGACCGGGCTAACAGCATCAGAAGATGATTCAAGGACATTGGACAGACTGCCAGTGGACATTTGGACAGGGTGGGAAAAGCTCGGAGCGGCGTCATGGGTCAGCAGTGGTGGCAGAGCGGGAGCGACGAGGTTTGAAGCTCTTGCATCTGGAAATCTCGATGCAGCAAGGGTCGCGGCGATCTGGTGGAGCGCACGTCACAAGTCGATGGTATCAGGGAGCCTGCTGGGAGGAACCGTGGTCACAGGGGCTCTGTGGGCTGATCTGATGAGCTTTTTTTTTTTCTTCTCCTCTCTCTTTCTCCCCCTCTGTTGCATGTCTGCCTCGATGTATGATGGCGAGCCTGAAGCATGGGCAGCATGGGTAACTCGGCCGCTGGAGGTCTGGGTTCGTTTGGAATTTGTGGGGTTCCTAACTAGGTTGCGATGTGCGTTAGTCGTGGAGTTCCCAGGAGCCCGGACCGAGGAAAAGAAACATCACCATGACAGTGATGGAAAAAGATCCATCTCTGCGACTGGTGCATGTCTGGTGCCTTGGCGGCAAAGGTGATCCGGACTTGAATGGCTGCCGTCCCCCGGGATGTCCAGCCTGGCGCAGTTGTCTGGCGTGAGTGGCTGTGCTGGGCATTGTTATCAACGACATGTGTGAGTGAGTTGACGCCCAGCCAGCCCGAGAGCCTTGGCCTGCAAATATCCATCATGTTCATCAGCAGATCGTGAGTCCCTCCTGACTGACTTCACAGACTGACAGGCAGAGGGTGAATGGTGAACATGCTTTGCCCGATATCGGCTGGACTGGTCCATAGGAGGCCTGTTGAGAAACAAAGAGGCCCAGGCACCGTTGGCTGGCCTGCTCAACACGCGACCAGAGGACGCAACGAAGGAAAAAATTTTCAGCGGAGAGAGATTTATGTCTCGTAATGCCAAGGACCGTTCTTAAAGACACTGGTGGTAAAGGGCAAATTGCTTCTGGTGCTGCCCGCGTGCAACAGGTCAACAAACGCTGTCAAACAGAAGTGGTTACTCATTTCATCGACGAGCAATGCAAGATAGAGGTTGAAAAGATCCAATGAGCAGCGCAAAGCTTATCAGAGTTTCATGGTTTTCGCGCATGGCGCTTGCAGGGATGGACCTTGCAAGGGCTCAAGGGAACTAAAAGTAGCCTAGAAAGTTACTTGTGAAATTGTTAGCCTCCTGCAAGGGCCGAAGTGGTTGTGTGCATGTTCCCACTGCCTTTTAACCGAGGTATGCACGTGACCCGGCGGAGATCGTGGACACCAGACACTGACGTCACATGCACGTGAGCATGAATCTCTCGCCTCAACTCTCGAACGGTGAACGGCCTTTGTCCATCCAAGTACAAACCCAACACCTGGGGTGCATGGAGAAAAAAAACTACATCATCCGAATCCGGAGCCCCAGGGGACTAGTCGGCATTGTTGCATTGCTGCATTGTCTCTTCATGCAACTAGTCAGCTCTGGTTGGTGCTGTCCTTGCATCCCAGACTCTCTCAAGTCACGCTGGCAGGAGAAAAAATTTTGATGCTGTCGAGCTTGAAAAATTGTCTGATCCAAAACGTCGCTTAAAGGATCCCATTGTGCTCATCAGAAAAGATGGAGCACTTCAAGATAAGCCAAGGGAGGGAGGCCTTGGAGCTTAGAGCTCAATCCTATGTAGGTACCTCACCTGCATCCTTATCAGTTGTTACCTGGTCTTTGTTTTTTTTCTTCCCTCTGCCATGGCGACATTCCCCCTCCCGCCCACCAATCAGCATTGTCTCTTTGTTGGCGGAAAAAGAAAAACGAAAAGAGCTTTCACGTCAAGGTCCTTCAGGACCATCATGCCACTCTGCCTCGGGGTTTTTTCCCAACGACACATGTCGGCCGACGTCTGAGCCGGCGGCATGCGCCGCACTGGTCCCTGTAGCAGTACTTTTGCAGCAGGCAAAGAGGGCTTTTGGACCAGGATCCGACGCGCCGGAAGGGTCGGCCAGCTCCAAGCGGGCCAAGCGGGCTCGACCAGAGAAACCGCACAC